GGGGGGCAAAGAATAATGAAAGAGGAAGAAGACGACGAGGAGCAAGGGAGAACGAGGTGATGATGACGATGGTGGGAATGGAGATTGGGAATAATATAAGAGACAAAAACGGGTTAGAGGGAAGAAAGATGGAAGAGGTGCAAGGTGGGGAAAACTAGGATTGGAGGATGGGTTTTGTCGAGGGTTGGTTGGTTTAGTAAGTTTTAGTGAGAGACTAAATGCAGAGGGAAGGGGGGAAAACAAAGCATAGCTGTCACCAACTATTCATTGGTAAATATTCACGATAACGAGCTAGTTAGTGAGTTGAAAATTAATAACAACTTCTCACTCAGGTACCCGGCCCTTGGACTTGGGACGGGACCTGAGACTGATGAAACTGGTAACTGGTAACTCGTAACTGGTAGCTGGTAACTGGTAACTGGTAACTGGTAACTGGTAAACCTGGGTCGATTAGGAACTGATTCCAGGCACAGATGCAAGCCATCTATTAGTACCGTATTAGTTCATCCCCCTTTTCTCAACCATCATCATTACCATTTCACTAACTACCGTCATCATCAAGGTACAGCGTCATTGTTGAATGGTTTACAGGATACATGGATGGAATCGATGGTCTCAAGCGAGGTGGGTGTGGTGGCACAGTTGATATGACCCATGCATCCCTAATATTTACCTTGTCTCGGTGAGTCTTTTTGGGTGTCACGTCACGAACTCTAGAGGATATATTCCCACCGATAACTTTACAGGCTACCGGAGAAGAAGAACCAAAAAAGCAAAGAAAGACATATATCTATACATGATACAACCAGTACATATGCGAATTATTAGAAGAAGAGAGGGTTCACTGTGAGGGGGAATCAATGGAATCTATGACTCTGGACTCTAGCGATATACTTCGGAGGATAATTTCCTGGCTGTTTTTGTTGAACCTCAATGAAGCTCTCTGTACTTCAGGCACAGGAACAGATGAACGGATTCAGGACCAGGAAGCCAAGAAATAAAAAAAAAAGTCCTTGTTCAAATTTCTCTTCAGGATCCAGGTTGGGAGATCATGCAACCTTGCTCAGACCCGTCAGCACAGCTCAATATGCACCGTGATGCACTGACTCTTCTCATTGCAGTGTCACCCACTGACCTTGGTGAGAACTGGTGCAGTGCAGCTATGACCAAGTCACACTATTTCACATATGTAGTTGGTAACTTTTGGAATTAATCTGAATTGATCTGAAATTAATTCAGGAGACAATATTTTCAAGTAAATTAGTATACTTATAATTATTTATAATAATAGTCTTAAAATATTTCTCTTTTTCTAGTTTAATCTTCATAGAAAATTCTTTTAATTTAATAATATATAATATTTAATTAATGTTTTTAATATTATAAATATTAAAATATATTATTATGATATATTTTATATAATATTAAATATATTTAAAATTAGTAAATGTAATGAGGCGGCACTGAGATTGGGATATAGGTGCCTTCTAGGTAGGCATCATTAGTGATTCTCAGAGTCTTCTGCAGTGTTGATATATACTACAACCAGCTCATATATATAACATGAAGAAGCAGCAGTGCTAAGAAGGCGACTTGACAAGTTTCTGTGACTGTGACGATGACAGTAAATTTAATAAATTAATTAATATAGTTAAGTAATTAGTTGTTATTTACTAGTTAGTTTACTATTTAGAGATGGATGATTAATATTATTTAAGGAAAATTAAGTAAAAACTTGTACACTTTATTAATTACTATAATAAAAATATAATCTTTTCTTATAACACATTAATAAGATGTAAGTCATAACTAACTACAAATCAAATAACGCTGTCTAACTGTACAGACTCATCGCACAGTCTTTTTCAGTTACAGATAATTATGAACTTTCATTGAAGCCTTACTTCTTCTAAGGTGAATCAGTGCTGTATGAAGCAATCATCGAATAGTTAGTTAGTACAGTTGCTGAACTTAGTTAACCTGCAATGGATGATTCAGAGCGTATTTTTTTGGCTTCGTTTTCCGAACTACGGTAACTATTCTACCCCTGTCTCATCATCAACCTCCTCAAATCCTCCAATTCCCTCTTCTTCTTCAAAATGAACAACAACAAAAGCTAACTACCCCGTAGTCGTCGGAATATATAAAACTATTCTCTACACAAACTGCCCGCAGATCCTTCCTTTAGTTTGAAAAACGGTCTGCCATCGATTCCTGCATATACTAATCCGATCTTCGCTTTCTCTAATATGCTTTACACCTTGTAACCCAAAAATGGCTAAAATTCCGGAATCTGGGTAACCTAAGGGTTATCCATGGTAACCCTCAAACTTCCTGACGATAAGACAAAGCAGTCCCTGGTTCACTGACTCGCGAAAGCTCGTAGTTAGTTGCCCGTAGAAAGCAGCATCGGGGGCGAAAAGTCGTATCATTTAATTGACATCATCACTTTCAGCTGGTCTCCAAACATATTTTATCCCCTTGCTGAACGATGTTGAACAGAACTCCCAGCAGCTTAGAATCTATTTACGTATGTACCGATATGCAGATATGTAGATAATCGGAAATCATCAAGCTCTTTCAGAAGGCAGCTCAGAACAAAAAGCCGAGAGAGCAGAGACTCATTTCAATAATCTCATCTAAAGATTTGGCCATTGTGATGGGTTCGGTAAAGGGATAAACGGAAACACCACACTTATTAGTACTCACAGCCGAACTTGACTATCCAGGCTCAAGTGGAGCCACAAAATTCTCATACCATGGTCGTTGTACTGTGCCTCAGCTGGAATAGAGTTAACCTCCTCCTGATTGAACCCTTAGGAGATCGATCGTTAGGCCGCCCCGAGGGAACCGGCTCGCCGGGGACAGAATGGTTGAATATCCTTGGTCCCCACTTATTTCGTTGGTATCCTGCACAATAAAAAGTGGATTATTTACAAAAGAACTGATGAGAGAGGTGGAAAGTCCTCCTCTTCCCCCTCCCCCCTCCCCCCTACCATGTGCATTAATCTGGGTTGCGGGATGCGATAAATCAATTTGCAAGTCGGAAATGTAGAGTTGCCGTTGGGGATGCAGGGCGATTTATCATTGTTGATAGTTAACTCTTATGATGTGATTGCCTGGTATCCATGAATAAAGATAAATAATCAATGACGTACAGTACAGTCTTCCGAAGGATTCTCTGCATAGTGCGCATGAGGGACATGGATGGACATTAACGTGGACGTGAACATGGAGGTAGAGTAGCTCTGGCCTGATATTTCTCCTTTACGGATTGATATCAGGGGATGGGTAGTATCTGAAGATATGTTGTAACTAGCCACCGCATTTTACATCTATCAATTTTGCTTTCGGAAGGCATGTCTTTGAATCATATGATATTCAACTCCGTTCACCGCAAGGGTGGCGGAAAATATACCTTTAGTTGGTGTAACCTGCAAATCATTGGTTACCCGCAAGGGGTTCAGGGGCGGGAATACGGTTGAGTTTCGGTTGGCTATGTTTTATTGCGATGGATGGCTTTTAATGCAGGACACCACCCTTTCCGATCTCTGCTCTAGATAAGCTACATCCTGTACTGTTCCTACGCCGATTTCTCGCGTTTGTGTTAAAGCACACGCAAAGGGGAAAGCTTTCATTTGTCCATCTCTAATGTTATTCATAAAGCAATTCCTAACTACCCATTGCTAACTACCTTTCCTTGTACTAAACCATTCATTCCATGGGACAGTTAAGGTAGGGGAACACAGAAGGGGGAACTAAGAAATGAGGAAGGCAGAAAACCCTTGTAAACGCGCCAATGTAAAAAATGAAAACGTTTCAAAGCCATCGCAAAGCAGAAACGAATCAGTGCTGAAGGGCAAAAATTTCAAAAGTGGGTAAGAATAAAACAACCCCGTTGCCATGAAGCCGTAAAAAAAGAAGAAAAAGAAAGAAAAAGGTAAAAGTAAATGAAACGAAAAACAAGCGAACAAGCTTGTAGAATATATGAAAGAAGCCCGCTGTACATAAAAGAAAATATGTCTCTTCAAATCCTTCCATCCGAGGGTGAACCACCTGATTCCTTCCCCTCTAAAACAAATCTCTACTTTCGGAAAGTAAAAGATTTCCCCTCAATCTCCTTTTTCACTTTATGCATTCCCTGTGGCCCTTCCATTGCTTTGGCGTACGGGTTGAATTGTCGTTTCTGCTTGTGTCCCCCGTGATATGGTCCATCATTGCCCCCATTGTTTTTATTCTCCACAGACTTGGCGTGAAGGAAGGATTCGGCGTTGCTGTAGTCAAAAGGAGTAAAATTGGCTATATCTTCGCCATTACTGCTGTTGTTGGTGGCATGGTTATGTTGCTGTTGAAGCGCTGATGCCAATTTCTGCTTCTTCTTTTCCCGACGATTCTTTGCTTTGGCCTCAGAATTATGTGGATTTGATTTAGAACTGGCGTTGGAACCGGAGACGGAGGGAGATGTAGGCTCATCCGTTAGTGCGACCGTCCCAGTTTGCGTTATTATTGTTGAAGCTGCAGCTGCAGTTGTAGCCCTCTCAATGTCTTCTGAACCGTCTGTCGATAGGGTTATCTTTCTTTTTTTTGGCGCCCCGAATTGCTTAATCGTGAAAATTTCATTGGTTGTACTGCTGGGTTTCATGGGAGCGGGGATGGTCTCAGATATATTAGCTTGCGATAGAGTAGTCTCTTCTACCAACGAGATAGTGCTGGTTGACACTTTCGTCGACATATCTGGAAAGGGAAGAGAGAGCAGTAATGCTTCTGCGGTAGCTGCCAAGGCATGTGGCACTGGAACTGGTGGATGGGGTTTCTGTTCTAGAGTGGAGCCCCAAAGTTCGGACACCTCGGCCCTAGCGGCCCTAGCGGGCTGGCTAACTGTTCCAGCTTGAGGGGATGATAAAGACAGGGACGTTGTGGGTTTGGATCCGTCGGTTCGCTGCTTGTATGGGAAAAGCACATCTCGGAGTTCTGGGCCAGTGGCGCCGGCAAGCTTTGCTTCCTTGATAACCTGGACTAGCTCTGACATTCTGGCTCTGACAGGTGGGGAAACAGGGGAGATAGTTCTGAAAAGAGAGGCTGGATCCAGAGGCATGGCGTGGGCAATTTTGAAAAGCGATTGCTTTGAGAGAATATATTGAACGCCTTCATCTTCGGATCGTGCAAGTTTGTCTCGCCACTGATGTACAGCCCTGAATACCGCGAACTGTTCTCGACTGAAAAGGGTGGAATTTCGAATAAGCACGTCGTGCCACCCGCCACCTCCTTCGCCCGTTTCTGCGTTATAAACTGGACGCTCATACCGTTGAAGAGCTTCTTGTCTAGACTTCTCAAGAACGTAATCTACCAATTTGTGGGCAGGTGTTGAATTCTCCACAAGACTGTTTCGAATATGGTCGTAGATGTAAAGAAGATAGTGGGTATCTGATCGTGCATAGTCAAACATGCCGGGTAAAAGAGGTCGCAGTCTCCAATCAGCCATCTGATATATCTTCTCCGCCTTGAAGTTTACAAATTTCTCTAGGAGAAATTTCAAACTCCTCTTAGGGTAATTTAGCGCTACCGATCCATGGTATGTATCAAAGAGACCAACAATGTAAAGACCTAGGTCACGTTGAAGCCATATTATATCCATAGTTGAACCATGAAGCACTTTTAAGATCTTGGGATCTGTAAACACTTCATTTAGCACCTGCAATTCCTCGCGCCATGGCTTCAATGTGTCGACAATCCAATCTTGATCTCTGGTGCTGATTTGCATGAGACAAACAAGGCCGTGGTACGAATGCACGTCATGGTGTTCTAGATCAATGGCTATTTCGGTGGCTTCTTTCAGTTCCGCAAGCATGGAGTGGACTCCTTCTAGGGTATCCACAAATGTGGCGGTTGTAGCATCAAAGGATTTATATTCGACCGGTGGGGATATTGAGTATGTTGATTGGGGATAAGGAGAATTACGTATTTCGGTCTCGTAGGGATGTTTGTAGCTAAGGAAAGGACGGATTTATATTAGTATTTGAACGTCCAGCTCAAAACGATCCGGGGATAAAAAGGGAGTGCTCTTACAAGGTTATAGTGTCATTGGGGCCAGCTTCACCAAGGCTTTCAGATAATGGAGCTATCGCATGAGGTTTAGATCGGAGTAATGGTTTGAAAGGAGAAGTGTCATTATTATTTGGACGAGAGGTGAACAAAAGCTGCGGCTTGGAAATTTTGGATGGGCCGAAGTCATAAACACTAGGGAATTGAGCGGTTGCGGGCCTTTTGCTGAGTGCGGCGCTTCGTTGCTCTTGCGATGGGCTAAGTTTCTTGATTACGCCAGTAAATTCATCAAGGCAAGCATCGGCCTTTTCCAAGAGCTCATCAATCACGTCCACAATGGATCTCCAGTTGTCTTCCAAGTCATCTTCATTGTGTAGTTCGGGGATGCGCAGTCCTGATCCGGACGTTGCAACTTTCAGGATGGAATTGGTTAGGCTGAGGAGGCGTGCGCTTTGCTCATCAACGGACTCGGATATATCCTCATTCAAAGAACGGTGGAAATTCAGGTCTTGCGAAGACACTTGTGTAGCAGACCTGACAGTTTTGACAAGGGCGGTCTTCGCTTGCTCTTCATACGAAGCAAAGTCTTTAGCGATCTCCATAACTCGTTAACTGTAACCGTTGCATTTCTCGAAAAAAAGTTCGTAGGCGAATTCCAAGACAATAAACGGAAAATGGAACACACGAGGGGTTGGGACGAGGAACGAAGGGCTTCTTTGCCGTATGAACTGCTGCGTAAACACGGCAAAAATGAAAATATACAAGGTCCGAGGTTTCTTGGAGAAAGATAAATTGCAGAAAGGGCAGAATTAAACTTCAAAAGACAAGCTGAGATGGACAAATGTTAATCCGGAGCACCGGTAAATTGCTGACTTATCTGCTTTGAGCTCCAAAGAAAGGAAAAGAAACATCTTTTGTTCTATCTCAAGATCCCAGATCCCAGATCCCAGAAGGGATTCTCACTGTTCTGACACTGCTTGCAGAGTCTTGTCGGGTACCACAAGATGTCAGCCTCTATAGCTCCAGAATGCAACAACGTCAAAGAGTATGTTTCAAAAGTTACTTTAAATGTTGTTTTATATGCAATTGTGGGATGTAGGAAAGTTGACCGATGCTCTCAAGGAAATATGAAACATGCTTCTTGAAGTGGTATAGCGAAAGTATGGAGCCCCAAGTGCCGTTGGCCCAGCTTCGACGGCTAACTTGGATTGGAATTAGAGTATCTCCGTGGAAACACTACCGACAAGGACTGTACGAAAGTCTTTGAGGAATACCAAAAATGCCTTTCGGTATGTCTCCTCCGTCCCTTGCAGTTTGTCCCTCCTTCTCTTCGGGAATTGACGCTGCTCCGTCGTAGAAAACTCTTAAAGAACGAGGACTGGACGGGATGGTGGAAGAAGCTCGCAATAGCAGCAAGGAGAGCGATGCTGAGTTTCTGAAAAGGAATCCTTGTATGATGATCACTGGCCACCAATTCTGCATGGAATACTGATTTTGGTTGCAGAAAGACCATGAGATGTATCCTTCAAAAGGGACTGGTGTTTGGCAGGGTGGGTTGTTAGGAGGAGGGGTTGGGGAGGTTCGGAACTATGGGGTGGCAAAACGAAAACCAATGTGTTGGGAGGAGACGGAGGCCACGACGGAAATACAGAACGCGAAACACGTGAAGACGATGAAGATGATCCATAAAATGCGATGACATTGCTCTACAGGTTGAGGATGGGGAGGGTAGACGGCGGAAATCACACAGAAAAGTGCCAGCAGCCGAGGAGAATAAGCAGCAAATTGCAATTGGGAAAGAGAACAAATTTCTTACCTGGTCCTTACCTGGCCATTACCACAAGCGGCGATTAGGGTATTCGGCCAAGATACTCAATGCCTTTGCAATGACTTCTGCTTCAAAGGGGCTTGGTGAAGGTTTTGGTCCGTAGTGGCGGTAATCGTCGATGACGTCTGATACACCTTTTTGGTCTAGATGGACGTTTTTGCCTGGCTTTAGGTTCTTATTGTATCTTGATTCCATGTCTTTGGCGGTTGCGTATCCAAATCTGCGGTCAAAGTCGCGTACCATCTCATGCCACAAGATGTCCGTCCCAAGCCGCAGGGTTGCGAGATAGATGTCCTCTTCGATGCCCCAGTCCCCGTGCATTTTGAGCCCTTGTGTATGAACGACGCGGCAAGAAGATGGTTAGGACGTTTATCAGATACCGTGGTACGCGTCAAGAGAACGTGTCTATGGGTGCCGGAGAGAGAGAGAGAGAGAGTGTGTGTGTGTGTGTGTGTGTGTTTAGGAGAATGATTAAGAGTTGGAGTGCGTCTGTGTATGAGTCTGGGCAGGTGGAAGAGAGAAAGAGAAGAGGAGAAAATGAGAATGTGGGTTTATATGAGCTTTTTAATATACAGGTGTTGTTGTTATCCCTCCTTTACACTCATCTGTTTGGCACTACACATGACAACAATGTCGCCGCGGTGAAACTTGAGTGCTGTGTTCATCAGGCTCTATGCGGTTGTGATTTCTGCACAGGTCCAGTCCAGTGAGGACATAATGGCCCTGAGGTTTCTTTGTGTCCAGTATTCTTTCCTTTGCTCCCATATTTTTGGATTATCGCATGAACTGATACTGTTGCCGCAACCTCTGAAAGGCTTCAGCTCACGTATCACTCTATTCTACGATGATGCCAGATAATGGCATCGGGCACGATCCAGCCCAACGCAGGTTTTCCTAAAGTGGGCAGAATTATCTCAAGAGATTTCTGCCAATTTTCGACTGAGACCGGCCAAGGCTGCTGCATAGACAGACCTGCAAAGATATGGAACAAGTCTACCAAGCACAAAAGCGCTAGGCTGTCGCTCGAGGCGAAGAAGCTTTTCCACCCCTCGGACACCGGGCAGCATGGCATTTTTCAAACGGAAAAGGGGGCAATCTGAAAGCTTTGCGCATCACCGATCAGGGGTAGGGTCCTGCCAACCCCGCTCCCAACTCCGATGCTGTATTCTTTCCCTTCAATCGGCAGTCCAATGGCACCTGCGCAACCTGCAAACCTTTCCTCCACCCTAGCCGTTGATGAATTCCCTTGCCTTCAGGACAGATGTTACCTCGCCATTCAAGGCTTCCAAAGTTCTGTTTCCCCTCTCCCCATATCAATTGGGCTAGTTCAGGGCTGTAAGAGGGCACAACATTAAGGAAGACGATAGCAGCAACCACAAAATGCTGCAGCTATAACCCGCGGAATCACATCATGTCTTCTCAGTTCAACTTACGCAAAGAACTTGGTCAAGCCACCAACCTATTCCGTCGTATATATAAACCCAACTCCCACCCCACAACCTCTTCCCTGGCTGGGCACATTAAAATAAAGAGAGCATTTTAACCACCTAATGTGTTTCTCCGTCAGATGTATCTCGGGCAAACTTCACCAAATGGACTTCGTTGCCCAGTTGATTCTCAGCTGAGCAGTTGGGGGCGTTGGCCCTGCAAGCTATTGTCTTCCGCTTCTTTATGTTCGAGGGTATCTACGTCGTTGCTTGCCTGGTCTGTGTTAGTTTTGACAAGGGCTAGCAAGGTAGTGTTTAGATATGGCCATTTTATCGTAAAAAGGTCCGTAGGGGCATAAGCTGCTCTCAAGAGTAAGATGTTGCAATGATCCATTGAGGGGTATATCTGTATTGAATATACTCTCAATGTATTGAAGCACAACATTCGCAGAAGTTGAATTTTCAAGTTTCAGAGGCATATTCTTGATCTTCACCTTGATATGTGGCAGCTTTTGATAATCACAAAGAAATGTATTAGGTTTATCTTTCTCTTTGAGTTCAACTCTATGTCTCAGTTCAACTCTAAAACATTCAAATGGTTAGTGTATATAATATATACATATAGTTTGTTGCGCATTCTACCTTGCGGTGATGGAAAGTTCCTTATGTTTCTGTAACTTCATGTTTTGATTACGCAGTTGGTATATTGATCGTTATCAATCGGGGAGCTCCGCAGAGTCCTCAAATTTTAGCCTATGCCATGTCCATTTCCATGTTCCTAAATTTCTTCCACTAGTCCCACTAGTGAGATTATCTTATTTACTACCTTCTTCCGCCAATTGGGCTTACGAAAGGAAGATGGACCAGCGGCCTCCATGTTTAGCCCGATCTACGGAGACAGAAAAGGAAGAAGAGAGGTAATAATATGACTATATGCATAGTAGCAAGGATTATGTCCTGAACATTAATAGATCATTTGGAACCCGCTAGGCAGCCAGGACCAATCCTGAACTCCTTTCCGGCCCTTTCCACATGTAGAAGCTCCAACAAAGCCAGACAAGTGCCAGAAGGCTACTCTAGCATTTCCTCCACTCCTGAAAAACCCTACGACCGATTTCCCCTCCTCCTGTCATACGGAAATCCATTCGGGATCTTCGGTACGGGTGCCGTCACATTTGCCGTGCGGGGTTTCTTCTCCGTCAACCGCGACCAAACCTCCGCAATCCCGACGCGCTGGGCAGGAAGCATGCTATACTGCAAGCTATACATGTTCCGGCGATGTATGGGGGGAACAAAGCGACCTGTTACGAGGCAGAGGATTACGCTAGGTGCAAGGTAATGTTTGCGGAGGCGGTGGCCAAGTTGGAAGTACTGGTCGAACATTTGGCGGAGGGAGAGGGGTATGGACTTGTTTGGGGAAACAAGGCGTCAGTTGAAGCTGGGGGAAATGGAAATTGATAGAGATAACTTTACCTGGAGATGGATATATGAGGTTGAAGTGGTGGGCATTTCGGCTGTTGTAGGTGTTGATGGCGGTGTTGGGGCTTTTCGGAGTGAGAAGTGAATACCGCCTGCACACGGAAAGTGTTAGTGGATCTGGGAAGGACTTGAATCAAAAGAGATCTGTGGACAACATAATCTCACCTGGTAAGCGCCCTGGATCCTTCACGCGTAGCATCACCGCAAAGAGCGGAAAGTGGTTCAAAAACGCAAGACAAGTATCTAGAGTTGCCTTAAGGGATATTATAATCATACGGGCAGAAGCAAAGGTGAGATAAAATACAATAATGGTGGGTAGCAAGAAGAAGAGAAGCGTGAACAATATCGTGCCCAAAAGTAATTGGTCGAGGTCATAGTCGCACGAGTCTATCCGGTTGCGGAGGACATTTCGCTTTTTGCCCCGGAAAAGATGAAATAGGGATATTATGATAGTAAGCTGCCAGTTAAAAATGCGGGCGGACGCGATGTAGAAGGAGTAGATATGGACGGTCAAAATTGATAGTAGGTCAGAGAACATGGCAATGGACATACTGGCACCGGCAAAGCCAGAGCATCCAATCATATAGATTACATGCCGGAGAAACGGTCTAAGGCCGGTCAGAACGCCTGAGGAGTTTTAGCATGCGCAAGCAAGATACGGGGGCTGGAGGATTAGAACTTACTAGCCCAATGTTCTATGACCCACAGAAACAAATCACCCATAAAAACAGCCAGCTCGTTGTTAAGTTTCAGACCTGCAGGCCACCCCATAAGCCAAGATATTGTCCGCTGTAAACCCTCGACCGTCCACAACGAGAGAATCGAGTTAATTTGTGACGCTACCCAATCAGCGTTATCGACGATATAGGATCCAAGAGCAATCCCAATTATCACATCATTAGCCACTAGCCACAGGCTGTTGTAGAACCTTATATAGTCTGGATGGCTATTTGTCACACTCTCCCAGTCATCTTTCCGTTTTCGCAAAGTCAAATACTGAATTGGCCAGTAACAAAATTGCTGGAGTCGTATATCAATCTGTTGAGCTGTAGCGGATATATCCTTTAGTGCAGCAGCTTCTGGGCGAGCTCGCCATTCGAGGACACCCAAAACAACTTCAGCCACGACTCGATGACTGATGAGCGCTGCAATAAACCCTTTCGTAATGACGGGATAAATCCATACCAGAAATACATAAGACAAAACCATGTAGAAAAGGTCCCATGCGGTGCTCGCAGATTCAACAACCCGTTCACCAACACTAAGGCTGCGTTTTGGTCGGGCACCAATCAAACTCACATTTTTTACAAGAAGCGTTTCTAATTCGAAGGAACAATTGACCTGGTTAATGATTGCTGGGAGAAATTGTTCCTTTGGTGAAGGAACATGCTTAACCACAGTGTGGAATTTCAACTTCTCGACAAGCTTCCGGGTTTGCGCTTTCGCCTTGACCTCTGCCTGGCCAAAATCGTCTAAGACCTCTCCAGTATTTTCTAAACTTATTGGTTTGTCCTCCAGAATTAAAGATATGGGCCTCAAGGACATAAACTGCATGTGCGTGGGATGGGGTCGTTTGAACGTAATAATCTGGATGGAAAGCTTCATCTCAGGAGGACAGAAGATCCGTGGAACCTTAGAAGACGGCTTCCATATGATATAGAGGTGGGAAGGGGTAAACGCTGTTGGTAGTTCAGTAGGGTTTGTCGAGCCCAAGACATGCATCGAGTTCTTCCCGCAAAGGGCCATTATCCGAGATATCGGATGGGGGCTGCTGCGGAACAGAATGCCGGTTCGCAGTGCATTTTCGACATTTCGCACCTAAGAGGGGATAGAAAATGCGTCAGAAACTGCTCACACAACAAAGGGTTTGAACAAGGACTTACTTCCACATGCTCAAAGACGGTAATCACAAAAAGATCAAACTCTGAGTTCCTCCACCCCACGATCACACCGGATGATGTGGACTTTGGTATGTCATTTGGCCAAAACAACCGCAGTAAACCATCACTCAGCATCTTATCATTCTCCTGCCCTTAGAACGAACCCCGGCGCCGCAGCTGCTCCCGCGCCGATATTCCGTGGCTCACCGCACGAGGATGCTAGTTAACTTGTAAGCAAAGGGAGGCTATTGTTGTCGGAGAAGAAGCGCATGGGATGTGTACCGAATTTATCTCTCGCGTCACAATGAGATTGATCGGGATGATGAAAAGGAAGTAGAAAATTGAAAGGACAATAAATCCCTTAGTAGCGCGAGTCTAATACAGTTTTATCCCTGTCAGTCTCTAGGAGCCACGGGAGGAGATAGGTTGTTTTCTCTCTTTTCTCTTTTCTTTTTCTTTTTATTTTATTATATTATTATTATTAGGGGAACTGCAAACGTACAACCACACCGTGATCCCAAGCAAATATGGCCAACTCGTACAACCGGGTGACTAGATCCCACCGCGCAGTAATGTAGCCAGCTACGAATATGCCAAGCGCGAGGATTGAGAAAGGGTGCATCAATTAAGTGCTATCGTTCGTGCATGCCTGGGATGAATGCAAAGGGAAGAACGTTTCCACAAGCACCAAGTGCCTAATTCACGGCCAGTTGTAGCTATGAGGTTGATTCGGTTTCAGGAAGCTTAAGCACGGTGCAGTGGCGTAGTCTGAAGCCAATCGTAGTCGGCGACACAGAAATCCAACAAGTTACCGAAGGGCGAAAGTAGGAGGCAAATTATTTTTCATCCGTAGAATCGAGCTTGTGGATTGAGGTTGAAGATGGGTGATCACGTGATGTCGCGGTCCAGCAGAGCATCGACGTCATTCAAGGGAAAATTCCCCCCTTTTGATGTAAACCTCTCCGATGTGTCTATGGGGGGTAGCTAGGAAAAGTGGGATTAAATAGGGAAACCTTTAAGAGTTTATGAGATCTAATTAAAGTGACAAGGATGCCTCCGTAACTCCTATATATATTGGCCCAATTTAACCAAATTTCGCCAACACCAGACCAAAACAGAAGAGTAAAATTAGAAAGAGGTTAAAAAGCAGGTGAAACGATAATCACATCGATTAAATCATAGAGCCTTTATGCCCTGAAATACCTTGTTATCTCGGAGTTTTTCGTCGGCTTCTACCATATCCCGCATCTTCTTCTTCTTTTCCTCCAAGGTGAGGTTTTCATTGCCCGGGGCTTCTATCTCAGCTTTCCATTTCAAGAGCATGGCTTTAAGCAAGGCACTCCCTTCTGCAACTTCCTCGGTGGAGTACTCATCTAGAGAGGCAGCCTGTTGCTGGTTATCGGCTGCGGTGGAGGTGAAATCTTCCAGCTCCTCTGCCTTTTGCCGTGCCATATTCACTACTTTCTCAGGGAAACGGACGAGTTCTGCCACATGGATGCCAAAGGACTGATCACAGACACCTGGCTCAACCCGGTATAACAGAGTAACCTCTCGCTTCTTTCTGTCCGCACTCTCATTTCGTTTCGCGTCTTTCCCATCACTAATAAACGCCACGACATGAAGATTCTTCACCGATTTGGGATAACGATCTTGCAGAGCCGTTAGTTCGTGGAAATGGGTAGCAAATAACGCGAAACATCTGATTTCTGTGATAATATGTTCCGATATCGCCCAGGCAAGACCAAAGCCATCATATGTGCTTGTTCCTCGACCCAGCTCATCGATTATAATCAAGGACTCCGATGTCGCTGATTTTAAAATATTGGCGGTTTCAAGCATTTCTGCCATGAATGTCGAAACCCCTTTGAGTTGCGAATCACTAGCTCCCACACGAGCAAGGATAGAATCAAAAATGGTGAGTTCGGCCTCAGAACATGGTACGAAGCAACCCGTTTGTGCCATGAGAGCGATAACACCGATTTGGCGGATGTATGTGGACTTCCCGCCCATGTTGGGGCCGGTTATGATGAGGAATGAGGACTCATTGCGGAGTAGTGAGACATCGTTTGTGATGAAGGAGATGTCGTCCTGCATCTCCATACAGGGATGACGAGCTTCCTTTAAAATCGTATGTCCCGTTCCTCGGGGATGAATCTTGGGTCGAACGTATGCAGAGGGAGCATGAACAGATACGTGGGCAAAACTGACGATGACATCTAAATGTGCTAGAACGCTTGCTAGTTGCTCTAGCAATGGGCAGTAGGAGGCTGCGACGTTTACCACCTCCTGAACTAAACCGGCTTGTGTTCGGTTATAGTTTGAAGATAGCTGGTCATGTTCTCGTCTGAGCGACTGCATTGTCGACGTTGTGAAGTATACTCCGTTCTTCTGGGTCGAGCACTCTTGGTATTCTCGTTTATTGCGAATGCAACCCGCTTCCTGAGTAGATCCATTAGAATCTTATAGAATCAAAAATTATTTACGCACATAGCTTACATTTCGTGTCAACCGGAAACACCAACCATGAACTCGATGGTTTTCGAGAAAGAGCTTTTTGTCCGTGTCTTGATTCAAGTCCTTTCCTACCATCCTGTGTTCGACGTCCATGTCGTGCTTCAGTTTGTCGAGCTTCTCTCTGATGATACGGAGGCTGTCGTCGAATTCAGGCTTAATAATGAACTCGTGATTATCCAACGCGTCCAAGTCGACCGTAGTTTCAACCATCTCCGCCAGCTTGCTGAAGTTATCAGAGAGACTGCGCAGTTTGGATGTATACTCTGTCTCAAGAGGCTCTTGGTATTGCTCATCAATAACGGCCTCGAGGGTGTTGATGAATCCGGGCAACCTGATTACAACTTGATATACTCTCACCACATCCTCCAGGTTGGCCATTTTGCGCAGGAATCGTTTCGCTAAACGGTAAAGATCAGGGATAGACCGTAGTTGATCTTCTTGCATAGTCTGTCTGAGCCCAGTGTCTACCACAAAGGCTTCTACCAACTGCTGACGCTTCTCGATGTCGGCGTGGTTCATCAGTGGTTGTTTCAACCACTGCGCTAATAATCGGCTTCCCACTGGAGTCTTGCAGTGATTCAACAACCCGTACAGACTCATATTCTTCGCGCCATCGCGTGGACCAGGCATCAGGTTTAACGCTCTGAGAGCCGATGCATCTAGTTTCATGTACTGCGATAAGTCATGCTGATATAGTTGATATTGACCGAAATTTGATGCATCCGACATAGCACCAAGATACTTGATCAAAGCTGCAGCAGAGCCCATTGCTAATTTCAAATCTGTCTGGGGTAATATGCCAGGAGCCATCTCATCCCTCAACAACCTCGCAAGATCCTGCTCAATATCCTTCGTCCCGAAATCAGCTATGGGCCGCTGCGAAATTGCGATTCCACAACTGTCAAGAATAGACCGGATTTTCCCCAGTTCCACATCCTTCTTCTGGGTCTCCGCCATAACCAGACACTCCTTGACCCCTAGTTGAATAACCAGGGACTCAAAGTTGGAGTAAAGATCGTTATCCACAAACTCACTCACACCAAGTTCCCTGACAGTGGCATCGGCAAAACAGACTCCAACATATCTAGCCTCCGATGCCTTAGCGGATATTTTAACTGCAAGAATAATAGGTGAAGAATCCATGGCTGCACCGCTAGCTCCCAAGTCCTCCTCCACATCCTGCAGATTGCCCGGGCTGGCTTGTTTTGCCAGCGTCCAATTTGCTTTCCCCCCACCCTGTGACACCCATATCTCCACTCTCATACTCAATCGGAAAAGAGCTTCGCGAAGGAAGTTTCGAAATACAGTCACTGTCATGGTTACAGATGGGAGACCTCCTGAATCACTGCGTCCTAGTGATTTGAGGACGGAGGTAGTCTTGTACACGGTCCGGGCAATGTACTCCGCATCAGGACCATGAGCGGTGTAGAAATCACCCCGGTCAAAGACACGGACTGTGGAGGAGTCATCCTTAGCGGGAAGGGACCGGAAGAACCGTATGAACCCCCCCTCATCGTCCACCTGTAAGAGACGTGTTAGATCGGCGTTGAGCTGAGTTCGGCGAGCAATTTCAAGGAGACGTGAGAGTTCAGAAAATTACATTACCTTCAGTTCCGGTCGCGACGACATTTTCCAAACAAAAACGACATACACTGCTGCTGATAGAGCAATCGAGGCTTAGCAGAAGAAAAGGCTGTAGTTCGCGGTTGCGAGAATAATGCCCCGTCCTCGCCTTGGACGCAGAGTTTAATGGTGTCGCCATATCATGTGATATCGCGTCTGCGGCAGGTGATGTCAGCGCTTAACTAACGTAATCAATAAGCGAGCGAACCATATAAGCGAGCGAACCACTTCCCACTCTCTATACAATGAGAATGTCTTCAAAGCCTCAACTATAAAGAAAAACTAGCAAATTACATTATAAATTATTTTCTATACACTTAGAGCATGTATGGGCAGTATGCCCAATAATCCCACAGACACTACACTGTGGTGCTGCATGTTTTTGTGGTTGCAACTCAGCAGTCTCAACCACCCCCTACTCCCATCCATTGACCCTTTGTACATGATTCAAGCCTTCTTCAACCCTCAAAGCACCCTCTTGAGCTACATATGTACAGCCTCTTTCTTGCTTTCTCTTTTGTTTGGCATTTTGAGTCCTTAACTCTCTGTTTTCAGCTGCTAGAATAGCAGCACTGTGCATTGCCATTTGACATCCCTTGACCAGCTGACTTAGGGCATGATTGGTTGAACTGGGTGGGCTCTGTATACAGTGCTTGATATATTCTTTAACTTCCTCAGCCTGCTGCTCCAATTGGCATACATTATGTGGTGTGGCTGTCACCCAGGAGGCCTGGGAGCTGTGGGAGGTTACTGAAGGAGTGGAGATATGCATCATGATATTAAACTGTGAGAGAATCTGCTCAGGATCATATGGAACCAGCCCAGCAGCTCTAAAGCTGCTCTTGATGTTGCTCTCAATCAGGGCCTGCATCTGAGCTGCAGGATAGAGACCCAGAAACTCCTTCTTGTCAATATGATTGATTCTAAGCTGCATCTGATTTTCCATCTGCTGTCTATATGCAGTTTTCAGGGGTGAGAAGCAGTCAACATCCAATGGCTGAAGAAGATGGGAGGAATGTGGTGACATGTAGAGGGCAATGATCTGATTCTCAGTGCAAAATTGATTAAATTCAGCTGAGGCATGGTTTCAGTGTCAGTCTAGAATCAACAGTTGATATCTGCTCTTTGTACAGAGTAGAGTCTTCTTGTTGAACATCTGTTTCAGTCAGTACAAGCCCAGCTGGTCAGTGGTTCAGTCATTCTCACTGACTTCAATCACCCCAGTTACATGGTAGCCCTTTTGTCTCATATCAGCAAGATTGATGTATCTTTTCTTTGAGGATAATCATTGTATGCAAGGCTCAGCCAGTTGCATTGACTTCAGCAATAACAGTCACTTATTTCTGATCTCCAGGCTGTACAAACTTGGGATTCCCAGCTCTTTCAGATTCAGTCATCACTCTGGCAGTCTCAATTACACCCATCTGAAACCCTGTCTCATCAAAGTTGTAGATATCATCTTCCAGAATCCCATACTTTGCAATAGTGTTTCATATGAGCCTAAATCACTCACAGATAATCTCAGAATCCTCACATAGAGCCTGCTGATGATCATACTTGCATGAGAACTTGAATTTCAGCTCATCATGGTGCTTGACAAAGTTTCATACTCAGCATTCACCCACTGTGAGTAAGGGGTTAGATTCTCAACTAGCAAGAAGAAGATTGGTCATTTCTCATACAGCTGCAACTCAGAGAGGCTGACCTCACTCATCCATGGTCAGAATCCATTGAACAAGAGATTCTTCCTCTATAAGACTAAGTTTCCAGTTCTTTGAGGGTGTGTCAACACATGCTGTATGACCATATATGTGAAGAGTTAAAGTTGTATAAGAGACTTCATATAGCTTTGCTGCAGCTCATACACTTGAAATTTGATCATTTTTAAGTGCTTGAATGACTAAAAGAAGCCTTCCTTCCTGAGTAGAGGCTTTATTTCTTTGTGTGATTGATATTTTTGATGCAGAGCATTTCTCATTGTATGGAGGGTGGGAAGTGGTTCGCTCGCTTATATGGTTTGCTCGCTTATTGATTACATTATTTATTTAGTTTAACTATTTCGGGTTGAAAATATCTGACACAACAGGATTTTGGCAGCCTGCTTCGGGGATGGATCACACTGCTCTTATCATTGGCCAGTTGGAGGTGGGAAACGGTCCCTTTTTGCATTTTTTCAGCGTTGTTGATTGTAACTAAGCGTCAAAAAGAGATCGAAAGGATTCTATCTACCGGGAGTTGTTTTGCCATTTATGATGGATCCTTGATGACCACGGAGCATTGAGATGTTCGTTTTCATTATCATCACTATGACCGATGGTTTCTGGCAGCAAGTTCCATCCTTGAAACTCTCAACAATCCAATCCCAGTTCTGTTTCTATATTTGATTGGCTATGCCCATCCAAGTAAGACATCTTCCCAAATAGGGTATCCTCTTCACATTAGCACATGGTTTCAACAGCTTTTATTCAGTCGACGATATGTTTGAGTCATATCTGTCACGACAACGTCAATGTTGATCATTTGAAAGATTTGTGATGAGCTGCTGCTAACTTGAGAATATCAAAATCTAACCAACGGGGGTTCTTGCACTCCTCCTGACCGGTTTTGTCCGGCAAAGGGATCCCAGTGACACAACTTTCCAGGGCATTTTATTTATTTATTTTTTTAAATTTTTCTTTAAAAGGGGTTGATGGTTTTCACATCTACCGATGCCTCCGTTAATACTGCGCTTTATTGCTTTCGTTCTTTTTGCTAATGTCCTTTATAATGATCATTGGTCCGGAATCGGGGTGGCTGGGAGGGCTTGGACGGCTGGATCAAATCGAATATCCAAACCGTTGAATGTAAATCGGATACTGAGACGTGATGTCACTTCGACGGATGTTTGTAAGAGATGGTCACAGCAGACGGCAGTGGTCAATGGGACCTTATATATCTATGGAGGAAGGTCGATTGCAAATTCAAATCAGAGGGATAATACTTGGAGTATGTAAACACACTTCTCTTCGGGGTTTAAAGGTAAAACGAAATGATCAAATATGCTAATATCCGTTTCCTCTTGTAACAGACAACGACTTCTTAACCCTTGATCTGAAGAGCACTTGGGATATATCAGCACCCAAATTTAGTGGCCTCCCCAAACCAAATGGCCCACCTGCTATCTCGATGGGATACCTTTGGAATTCCCTTGAATCGATTTTCCTATATGGCGGAGAATTTTCAGATAATCCCCGAAAAGCTCCCACGAATTTCAGCTTATGGGAGTACAACATCCTATCTGCGAGTTGGAAAGAGTATACGAACCCTCGCACATCCCGAGGGAGCAATTCCAATGCGGGAGATCAACCAGTTCAGCGATCTGCAGAAGGCGCAGGAATTACAGTTCTAGAGCTGGGGAGGGGCTTCTACTTTGGAGGACATCTGGACGGATATACAACTACGGGATGGGATCTGTCTGTCCCGCGTGTCTATCTGAAGTCATTACTTGAGTTCACTTTCCCTGGATATAAAAACCCCGAAGTAGAGAGTTTGGAAGGGGGTAAAGCCGCCGGAGAGGGTGGCGCATGGCGGAATATCACAGAGGGAGGGCTCCAAGAGTCTGCGGGGTTCACCGAACGCGCTGACGGAGTCTTGGTATATGTTCCTGGATTTGGGAAGCAGGGGATCATCTTGGGTTTAGCAGGAGGGACAAACGCGACCTTTGTGAGTTTTAATGTTGTGCCCCATTTTGATATGTTTTGCCCATCAACAAACTGACAAGCTAACTTTCATGATCAATAGACGCAGATGAATGTTATTGATGTCTATGACATTGAAACTTCCACATGGCACAAACAGGCAACCAGCGGGCAAACTCCAGAAATTCGTGTTAACCCTTGTGCTGTAGCTGCATCTGCCGCAGATGGTAGCAGTATTCAGGTTTACCTCTATGGCGGACAAAACCTAATTCCATATGGAAAGCAAAAACAGTATGACGACATGTGGATCCTCACCATCCCCAGTTTCACCTGGATAAAAGTCAACACGGACGGCCAGTCTGTCCCTCCAGCCCGAGCTGGCCACACATGCAATATCTGGAACTCTCAAATCATCACGACGGGCGGATATGTAGGGCAAGACTTGACTTGTGACAGCCCTGGTGTTTACATCTTCGATGCCTCCGAATTAAAATGGCAAAACCAATACGCCGCTTTTAAAGGTGGGAATGACCTCAACCAGCAAGACTCTCAGAAGAAGGACATGAAGGGTCTGAGCGGTATTTATGGTTATCGAGTCCCCAAGGCAGTGCAATCAGTCATTGGTGGCGATGATCAAGGGAGGGCAACCGTGACCGCACCCGCAAAGGCGGCCACTGGCGGCCCCATTGCAACAGGGAAACCGATCACATATGTCGTGACGAATCCAGACGGCTCTGTAATCCGCGTCGGATCACCCGGTGAAATACCAAGAGGGCCCAACATTGCCGCCATAGTCGCCGGAGTGATCGCGGGCTGTCTCTTTATCCTAGCCGTATATCTAGGATTCTGTACCTATGTTTATCGCCGTCAACTGGCATTGTACAAGAGCCACGTCGCAGCAGTCCAGCGTTCGTCGACAGGTGACAAGTTCGGGGCCTCCGCTCCACTCAACCTCTCCGAGCGCACAAGCGCACAGCTCACGTCGTCCTACAGCGAGTCAGGGTCGAATATCACCGCTGCCCTAAGTCATCCCGACAATGGCAACTCAACGGGATATTTCCGGCCTGCTAGCGGGCTTGCTGGTGGACTGGGGAGTATGAATAGCAGTACAGACGACCTGCTTGCTGGACAAGAGCCGACGTTTTTGGGGGTGATGTTGAATCCTCGTCGTAGCTTGAGAGTTATTAATAAGGACTGATATCTTTTTCTTCTTTTTTTTTTTTTTTTATTTTCTTTCTTTTCTTTTCTTTTCTTTTCTTTTCTGTTCTAGTATTGTTGTTGATAATCACGATGGTCTTTGCGTTTTACATGTCTATGAAGTTACGCTTTTACCGTCTGTCTTTATAATGTCTGCTCTATCATACAGACGAAACTGCATGATACCCTCTGTCTTTCGTGCTTGTTCGTCTCTGTTATATACCCGATTGTGATATCTTATACGAGAAGCCCTCGCCCAATTGCCCTATTCATTTGTTCGAATATCTGTTAAACCATTGTTCCCGAGCTCTGGCTATTATTCTATGAAATATCAGGATATAATAACTATAAGCACGATCACCCATGTGTTATGTATGTAATGTGAAAATGCATGTATGAATGTATATAACAGTACTTCCTTTTACCTAAATATGGAACCGCGGTTCCCCTTGCCTTTTAAGTTATCCATGTGCCGCCTTTGTAGCGGCTCTTGAGACGAAAATATCAACAGGGTTCCAGCCCTTTATCTACATAAAGTTTCGAACGCTCGTAAGCACGGCTGGTTCTCACCGGCATGAGCGTGGAGGGGTACAACGCACATCAACGATTAATAATAAGAACTTGAAATCCAGAAGACCGAGGTCCAAATTGCTCTTGTAGTTAACTATGACCAAATCCAAACCATGAAAAACGAAACGAGCCATCTAGATTCTTGTTACTCCGCCACCCACCGTCACATCATCATCGCGCCCTGTTAGCGTGATCAGATTGCGCTGCTTGTTGGTTCGTTCGATCACAAATGGAATCAGAAAACGCTACGAGCCCGGTGATTGATTGGAAGAAACATTCCGAAGCAATTGGGGCATGATCCCTGGAGTGTAAGAGGGCGGACAGTTGAACGTGGGGTTAAAAACTCGGCTGGAAAAACCTTCAACGGGGTGTAGTTAAACATTCTGACGACGAATGACACCCTTAATTTAAAACTACATACTACCTACATACACTAGTCATATCTCACACAGAGTTACACACCAATCTCTATGATGCCCTTTGACGGTTGTTAACTAACCCTTACTCTAACCAACCCTGATTCTAATTCTAACCCACCCGCCACCCCTCATTGAGGGAGGTTACGTTGAAGAGAGAGATGTATTAATAATGGTATAAGAGAGTTGCTCATGATTCTAGAAAAGACGTGGGCCCCACTTTCAAAACCATGTTCTACGGCAAAACCCCGGTCTTAAAAAGATGCCGACCAGATAGACGTTGGTGGGCAAGGTGAATTAGGGCTAACTGTCTCTGCCCTGGAAAAAAGAAAAGAAAGGAAAAATGCAATTCTGGTTCCCCCGGGGTTGGCTGTTAAACCGGCAATCCGGCACATAAAAACCCATTTTCTGCAACGGGGCAATTTCTCATATCATCACGGATGAATCAACTTCACAGGTGTCACCACCTGACATGGCCATTCCTGTTCATGTGACCTTGTCTTGACTCTGACAATCGCAATGCGTAAACGTTATTATCTCCTGAGTGTTCACAGACGGGTTTTGTGCACTCATGGGCCCCGGGTTTCCTTGGGGTCTCCAGCTCTGGAAGACAGAATTATGCTGCATAGCGACGATAAGTGTTTGTTGCGAGACGGTTTTTCGTCTCTTCTTGAAGCTGGGTTTACTTCCCCGCGTCCGCTTCTCCCAGGCCACGAAGTCAGGGGAGCAGACCTTCAATTGAAAACTGGACGGTGGCTTTATGCAATGGAAAACCGCACCTTAGTTTTGGCTATTGGTGATTACGGAGTTTTCTGCTCCCTCTCTATGGGAACCCCATGTGAACCTATCCTGGTCTGCCCCACATCGGTCGCCTCTACTGAGCTAAAGATGCCGGAAGCGGGCTTGGAACTCGCCTCTCCTCTGGGATGTTGTCGACCTGGTGAGGGCGACGATAGACCATGAGCCTCTGATGCCCCCCACTCCCTCTGTGGAGGGGAGGCCCTCGTTCGGCTACACCTCTCCGGTGGGACTGAACAAGCCCAAGTTAAAGACATGTAGGGAAAAAATCACAACTCCACAACTTGATAAAGTGCTTTTCGTTCTGCTTTTATCTTCTAGCAGATGCTCTTCGTATTTCTCTGTCTCTCGTTCTCATTCCTCAGTAAAACGGCTCTTCAATGTTTGTTGATATCCGTTTTATGCTCTTTGTTTCTAGTTGTCTGTTACTTCTCTAAATGCTGAGCGCGCTGCTTACGATTATATAACATCATTTCCCGCCAAATGAATCCCTTAAGCGCAATCTATTTCGCGCTTCATTCTTCAGATTTTTTGACCTCATCATTAATCCCTTCAGCGCGCTCCATCTGTTTGACCGATGGCTGACCCTGAGAAATGGAGCTCGACACCTCCACTAAACCTCACAGAAAGCCAGCATCGTGTTTCTGCCAGTTCCAGTGCCAAAACTGCGTCGGAACACAGCTTAGAAATTGCAATTGATGATCCCGATAAAACCATAACGCCCCAGATCTCCAGAGCTTCGCAACCACCGTTATCAACGAAGATCACGTCCGTCGGCACTACGGGCACCTCAGACCCCCACTATGAAGTGGATTGGGAGGATGAACATGACCCCGCGAATCCGAGGAATTTCCGCTTGAGATCCAAGGCGATGATGATAGGATGTCTTTCTTGGAGCACATTTACTGTGTAAGTGTCCACTGATTTTACTAGCTGCCGAATTTTCGTTAGGCCCTCACACCTGATACTGGTGCAATGAAACAGGATCCATTATTCTACTAGCTATACTGCAGGCCTTGCAGAAGTAGCTAGAGAGTTTGGTACTTCAGAGATCATAGTGACACTGGGCTTGACCTTTTACCTCATTGGCCTCGCTATAGGTTCTGTCATTCTAGCTCCGTTGAGTGAGATGTACGGCAGAAAACCCGTCTCGATTGCAAGCATGTCCTTGTTCATGATTTTAATTTTACCGTGTGGGGTTTGCAAATCGGTCGCAGTGCTAATTGCCATGAGGTTCTTTGGCGCTATAGCAGGCAGTGCTATGGTTTCCAGTGCCCCTGGCTCAGTAGCAGATCTGGTGGATGATGAACATCGAGCTCTAGCATACTCCATTTGGAGTATTGGGCCCCTAAATGGGCCAGGTAAGCCTACTCAAGGTTACCCCTCTGCATGCCACAACTTGCTTGATTAACAGTGTATTATAGTGTTTGGACCCATCATCGGTGGGTATGTAACACAATACCTGGGATGGAGATGGACCAACTGGCTATCGATGATATTTGCCGGAATTGCGTTGGCTCTTCTTTGCTTCGTGAAGGAAACCTATACTCCAGTGCTCCTTCAGAAGAAAGCCAGGCGTCTTCGAGCAGAAACAGGTGACTCTCGCTGGTGGAGCCGATACGACTATAGAGCTTCCCTGACCGAAGTCCTAAAAGTCAACCTAAGCAGACCATTCGCAATGGCAATACTTGAGCCGATTTGGTAAGCTCTCTCTCTCCTACTTTAATCCCTTCTAAAAACGCCGCAACACAACAACAGTCCAGTTTAATTGACAGAATTCGCGCCCCCATTTCTCGCTTCTCAGCATCTTCTGGAACTTCTACATTGCCGTAGTCTACGGCATTCTATACCTCTGTTTTGTCGCCTATCCAATCGTCTTCCGCCAAATCCGCGGTTGGGCCGTTGGAGAATCCGGCCTTGCCTTCCTCGGTATGGGTGTCGGCTCTCTTACAACCGTTGCCGTCGAACCCCTCCTCCGCCGCATGATCAACAGGCACAAAGCGGATCCAGAAACGGGCAAAGTGCCACCTGAATCCATGGTATCTGTCGTCTGTATAGCCGCCGTCCTAATTCCAGCCGGCGAGCTCTGGTTTGCGTGGACCTGTGCTCCAAAGGAAATCCACTGGATCGCGCCAATTCTCGCCGGCATCCCCTTTGGTGCGGGCAATACAGCTGTATTCATCTATGCATCCAATTACCTAACGTTCAGCTATGGCGTGTATGCCGCATCGGCTATGGCAGGCAATTCCGTCATGAGAAGTACTCTTGGTGGTGTGCTTCCGCTTGTCGGGCCGGCACTTTACAAGAAATTAGGGCCCAACTGGGCTGGTACTCTCTTGGGACTGCTGGAAGTTATGATAATTCCAATTCCGTTCGTGTTTTACAAGTACGGGTATAAGATTCGGATTAAGAGTGTGTTGATAAGGACGATGCAGGAAGATAAGAGGAAGCTGGATGGCAAGAGGACAAGAGATGCGAGCATTGGGAAGAACCAAAATGAAGACGAGGCGGAGAAGGACGGTGGAGGAGGGGTGTTAGTGCATAAGGAAGAGGTTTGAAATTCAGTCCCCCTTTTAAGTTCCATGGCTTGGGTGCCCTGTTTATTTTCCTTGGGTTTGGGTAACGAGGAAGTTTCATTCCTTCCAGGGGTTTCGCACATGTGGAGGATTTTTTAACATCAAAAATCTGCATAATCATTAGACCATTTAGCTATCACGTTTGCATCATACATGGCGTTTTGTTTATACAGTTTTGTGAGCGCTCTTCCCATCCAGTTGTTTATTTCTTCATATTACGCCAAGACCCTAAATATATTCGCACATAGGCAAATTGCGTCAATGCGTGTTCGGGTCACATTGGTTTCAGGTTCATTTGGAGATTTATTTGGTTATTTACGAACGGGAAAACATTAGAAAGAAGGAAAGATAAACCGCAACGTATAACATGCATCTTAGGATAGCTCCACCCTTTCGAACCTTGCATTGACTCCTCCATCCACGTTTGCTTCTCTCCGATCTAACTGTTTCAGAACATTTACGTAGGCCCAACAATCCCGCAGTATTATTTCGAAAGTTCATTCATTGTGTAACGACACTTAATAATATGTGCTGGTAGACTCTTTTAGCCTGCTGGGGAAAAAAGAAATCTCTGCCCAAATATGCCCCTATACCCCTTTTCGGGAGTTGGGACCTGGGTATGGTCGATGAACCCGAATGCGTGTCGATGGTACAATGGCGCGAGTTACAGTGATTCTCAACGGGGAAATGATTCCCTTAGAACAATGCAGTGGAATCTTTTGGATTTGCCATCCGGAAGAGACGAGTCAGACAGCATCACATCTCATCGCTTTCGAATTGAATCCAGAGCCGCTTAATCGGGCCTTTTCACCCTCCTATCCGCATCTTCCCAATCCTGGAGCACACGCTCATACTCCCCAAGATGCACAGCATCGGCAGAGAAAACCATCACAGCCTGAACATATATCGTCCTGCCAGTTCCGCTAGCTGTTGACTGAGTGCCGTTCAACGAGCTCGCTGTCGTCCTTGACGACAATCGTTCCCTTACGTAGCCCAGTACATTTAGCCAGGCGCCGACCTGCAGATCGGTGGCTTTGAGAGACCCCAGAAGTACAGTTACGTCCACAAAAATGGAGGGTATGGCGCCCGATGTAAATGGATAGTTATGCTCGAGAGTAAGATGGCCGGTTGAAGTGTTGTAGGAAGAAACGCTGTGGCATGATATTAGCTTTTTTAAAAAAGAATCAATAGACATATATTTCTCATTTGATGTTCTAAATGCTATATGTATTTCTGGCACCACAACCTTTAACTAACGACGACACTCCGTGCTATCGACACACTCACCAGCCAAGGAAGCGGACTTTTGATCCTGCTGGGAATCCTGAAATTTCAGAGAGAAACGCCCGCGTTGTAGGGAGAGGGCCGGGGCATTGGCTCATGATATAAGGAACAGATAAAAATTGACGTTATTGTATGCCATATTTACACGTAAAAAGGATAATATTTAGTGGACATGCTTTTTTCCCAATGTATATATATATATATACCTGGGTGGTTAGTTGTATATAAGTACCACTTTATTATCAGGGAAGTTTCGGGAGACTTTCAAGGAACCGCTGACTAATCGGGCGGAAGCAGGCATGTTTAATTAAAGTTGTGCACGTGACGATTCCTTGGTTTGGATGTCATAGTTGGTTAATGAGCCTCACCAACAAAAGTTGCACACCATCGCAGTCAACTCTCATCCAGCCAAAAATATCATCACCACGCCGTCAACGAACCACTATAGCCATATATCTCCTAATACCCTCTCAGTTGCAGCGTCCTTCCTTTAGACCACTTCCCTTCATATCCCGTTATCTCCCACCCTACGATCACCATCCGGATCCCCTCCCGGCTTGTTTTCAGTCCTCATCCTTTCCGACATCCCGCATTTGTCAACGCTGATATCTATCGCTGCTCCCGCATCCAACTTGGACTCCTTGTTGTACCTAAAACTGCCGTTACTTTACCTCGGCCTTTACATTTCTTGGTTACATTTCTACAGTCTCCCGGCCAGTCTTCGACGGTTAACTATGTGGTCGTGGTTTGGCGGCGGATCTGCTCAGCAGAGGAAGGATGCCCCCAAAAATGCCATCCTGGCCCTGCGCCAACAACTTGATATGCTTCAGAAAAGAGAAAGGCATTTGGAAAACCAAATGGCAGAACAGGATGCTATAGCCCGGAAGCATGTTACTACAAATAAAAACGGTACGTCTGTTCGGAGAGTCCCAGTTCTATCCCGCTTCAGAGGTCTAGGCAGCAGAAAACCGGTCTCAGTAACTGCCGAGCTCCATAAAGAAGCTTAACCTGGAATGTCCTTTCTGTGGTCGTTGTTAACTAACGTAATATCTTCTCTTTTATATAGCTGCCAAAGCTGCCTTGCGACGGAAGAAAGCTCATGAACGATCCCTCGAACAAACAAGCGCCCAGATTATCCAAATCGAACAACAAATATCCTCTATCGAGGCAGCAAATATCAACCAAGAAACTCTCCTCGCAATGAAGAATGCTGGAAATGCCATGAAAAAAATCCACAGCGGACTTACTATCGAGAAAGTGGATGAGACAATGTATGTCGCTTGCCATCATCTCCCTGGCCATCAATAATACGTCCCATATCTTGAGACAAAGGTAGCAGTGGGCTAACATGATATGACTAATAGGGACCAACTACGAGAGCAACATGCACTCAACGAGGAGATTGTAAACGCCATTACAAACAACACCATCGGCGAGCCGCTAGACGAGATGGAGCTTGAAGCAGAACTGGAGGGCATGGAACAAGAACAGATTGACGAGAGAATGCTCAAAACTGGAACTGTGCCAGTTGCAGATCAGCTTGGTACCCTACCAGCAGCCGCAAATGGACCACGTGAGTTATCATTACCCTTGCGGTCATGTGGCGTCCTATATGATCTTGTTATAAAAAAAAGGAAAACTAACATATCAAAATGTCCTTCCACAGTCAAAGGCAAAGAAAGAGCCACAGAAGAAGAGGATGAGGAAGCAGAGCTGGCGAAACTCCGAGCAGAGATGGCCATGTAATGCATGCACTTCCTTTACTATCTTTCATTGAGAATGAGAATAGTTGAATACATCCGCATGCCCAACTTTTCCAAATGCATTCGGGCAAAAGGTTCACACTCTATTTTGGGCTGAGAGGAGAAACCTTTCCCGTTTCCTTCAGAATCTCGCATCGTCCCTATCTCCTCCCACTTTATTGTATCCCGGGTATTCTGTGCGTCGATGCTAGGTTACCTACTTCATAAACTCTCATATCGGCGTCGGGAGCTTCTATTTTCCTCTGATTTTCTTCACCCCTTCTCCTTCAACGTTTCCATTATATGACGCGGAGTCTCCTGATTCATACCTCCTTTACAGTCTGTTTATGTAGGTGTCCTTTTTTAATGCCTGTATCCCTGCTTATTTGTAAGTGTTCCCTTTTGCATATGGATATGATGATACGGGAATCCCATTCTCCCAGCGCTTTCTTTTCTTTTCTTTTCCACCCCCCAGCTACATCTAGCCATATCTGTTAACTAACCCGTATATATATAAAAAGGGGAAGTAAAAAACCATCTAAATCCATAATCCTGTAACTTTACGCATTACGCTGGAAAAGCCCACCTTGTAGCTATTGTGCCTACCTCCACCAACAGTACTAGTACGCTTCCCATTGCCTCGTCCCCAAAAGGCATCCAATATCTCAGGAATTGATGCTATCCAGAAACAATGGGCGTGTATCATATGTGCCTCATTTAAACCTAGCTTTATGATAGAAATTTAACCAAAGCAACCTGTTCTAATGGGGTATATAAAATACTTGATAAGAACAAGACAAAGCGATATCAGTCCACCAGCTCCTCCCATCAGAAGTAACGGATGGGCACCTAGATAGATAGGTAGCTACCATAGGCATAGAGACGGACACTAGGGCGTTTTCCCATTTACATTGGTTTTTGAACAAGGATCGAGATCCGGATCAAAAGGAAGAAAGGATGCAACAGAAAGAAATAAAGAGTACAGAATAGATGAGATGAATAATATCTGCAAAAGGAAACCACACCAATGCAGACATATATGTATGCGCATATGCTTGCGGATATTCTATTGACAAAAAGAAAAACTTAGAAAGCAGCCATCTTATAATAAGCACCTGCAGTTTCCCCCTTCTCCCTATGAAAATGGAGTGAACAAAAACAAAGATCACCATCCCCTAAACCAGATTTAAAAACCCAGCATTGCCCCAACACTTCCCACTCCCACTCCCCCCCAAATAAAGGAGAGAAAGATGTAATGAGAATCATTTCCTTCGTTTCTCATTCGATCGTAAGAACGGAAAGGAGGAAAATTATTTAAAGAAAGGAAAAACTGCTAATGGATATGATAGAGTAGCTTATCTATGCATGGAATGCCAAAAAAAGGAAAAGGATCCAACCCCAATGCAAAGATCATTGATAGACAAGACTGTGGAAGTGAACGGTAAAAAGTTGTGGGGAGGGCCGGGAAAGGAGGCCAATTAAAAAAAAGAAAACAACAACGACGACAAACCAATGGGTATGTAAACCAACGGAAATCAACTTCCTTTCCGGCATAAAACGGCAAACACGCACCCCATTTCCAAACTCGGCGATACCAAAAGGGGGAAGGAAGGGGAGGTGGAACAAAAAAAAAAAAGAAAATCGAATCACTCCTCATTTAACCCCGCAATAATCCCCTTCAAGGCATCGATAATAACAGATTCATCCTTCGGTTCACCGCCGGGGAATGAACTTTCCGTTGCACCATTGAGCACACGGTTGCGAGCGCTTCGTAAGACTTTGGAGATATATTCTTTATCTTCGTAGTCTTCCATTAGCACTGCTTCGAAATTATCGATGGCTTGGTTTGCTCGGTCGAGGAATGATGGTTCGGGTTCGGGTTCAGGTTCAGGTTCAGGAGCTGGAGGAGGCGCGGGGGGAGAGTGGGTGGTTGGATTTTGAGGTGGGAGTGCCGATGGTGGTTGGGTATGGGTATGGGTATTAGGATGGGTATTGGGAGGCTGGGATGGAGGAAGGGTTTGAGGCTGGTATTGCGGCTGGGGCTGGTTCGTTGGAGGTGCTGAAGGCGGTTTGGAGGGAACGCTATTAGAGGAAGGTGGTCGGGTACTTTGGATGGGATGAGGGGTGTGATTGAGGAATTTGTATTGTTCAGGGGGGGGCATCCGTTGTGGGGTTTGTTGCTGTTGCTGCTGTCGCTGCTGTTGTTGCTGCGACTGCTGTAATTGCGGTTGTGGTTGTTGTGTGGGATCCTTTTGGGATTGTTGTAGTTGCGGAGGAACAGGGGCGCTGGACTGTTGTTGCGGAAGATTTTGTTGCTGCTGCTGTAGCGGTGGTATTGACGGAGGTGGTCGTTGTTGCTTTTGCTGTTGTTGTGCTTGTAATATCTCGGGAGGCGGAGCTGAGGCATACGGTGACCTGTATGTCGAAGTTGTGGAATTGGCAAATGTGGGCAGTAGATTTTTACGCAGTGCAGGTGGGAGTGAGAGAGCAGCGGGATTTGGTATGGAGTAAGGACTATTATGTGACAGCGCCGGACCTCCTCCAAGAGGAGACTGGCCGTTACCTATAGTGGGTAATGCGAAGGGGTGAGAGTTGTGACGATCGGGCACGTTCGGACGGGGGGTATTAAACTGTGTGCCTGAAGTGGGCGCCAGGTAGGATTGGCTGTTTGTGAGATTGTGGGTAGATTGCGAGGTAGTATGTGAGGGAGGAGGGGGTGAGGGCCTCCGTTTCTTTTCCTTATCAACAGATGCCCCGGGTGTGAGCTTCCACGACCATCCTTTCCCGTCCCTTTCTGCGTGTTCAAACAAATGAGCATTTCCGTTAAGATTATGGCGAACGCTTGATGTCCAGCCCTCAGTCTCACATCTAAACCGGAAGTATGGATATTTCAACTTAAGCGCGCGATATATTTGTTTCAGAGTCATTGGCGTCTGCGATTCGGACAGAGCGTCGAAAATGAGAACCGCATAGTTATATGGAGGCTTCGCGAGGTCCTCGCTGGTGTAGAAACTTTCAGGGGGATAATCGGGTGACGGAGATTTCGACGGCTTTCGTTTTTTAATAGGCGTCTGTTTGGGGACATCTTCAGCGCCGATGGTAGCATTAGCATCGCCACCTTCAATAGAGGGAATAGCCATGTCGTTAGAAGTTGAATCGGGCTTCTTCCGTTTGGTGTATTTACGTTTCTCTGCCTTTGCGCTCGGAGGATCGTCTTGCCCGGATTCTTTCCCAGTCTTTCCAGTCTTTCCGCGACCTAAAGGAGGAGGCGTCACACCACCGTTGGCTTCTCGTTTGGCAGCCAGTTTCTGTTCCCTAGCTATTTCAGCTCGTTCTCTCTTGGACATGATTCCGTCTTTGGGTGGGCGACCAGGCCCGCGACGACGAGCAGGCTGGGCAGAACTCTCCGGGCTGACTTCAGCTGTGACTTTCGACTTAGGTGCTGGCTCCTTGTTAGCTTTCATTGGTGTTGGTCGATCTTCCGCTCCACTGAATTCCGAGCCATCCCTGTCCATGTTATCAACCACCTCAGCGTCACTGCCCGCTCTAGCATCCTGCTCTCCTTGATTTCCTGCAACTTCCTCTTCATCTCCATCGATTATTTCAGGTTCATCTTGGTCTGCTCCAGTTTCACCAACCGGAACATCTGGAAGCACAAATCTCACACGGACACCACCTATTTGGATGAAGTCACCACTGTGCAGCGGCCTCACCTGGCCCGGCGCAAGCCAATCCGCACCCATGAAAGCCCCGTTCCTTCCGATAACTTCCATCTCAAACAGATTTCGGTCGAAGTTGTAGGCGATTTTGACGTGCTTTCTAGATATACCACGATGAGTGGCGACGGAGCCATTAGAAGGTGCGGGAGGATGAATTGGTATTGTTGGACACGCGTCCGGCGAAGGTAATAATGACAACGTATCGACAGGCTTAGGGTCATTTCTTGACCGCAATGACTGCATCGCAAGAGCATTGTAGTCTTTTGTTATTTCTGGAGTCTCGAGAGAAGCAGAGGGGACTTCTGCAGCGGCCATGTGTAAAGTTGGACGACGTTGGTCGCCATGGGATGAATTGGATGACTTCCAGCTCACTTGGGGCGGGAATTGCTGGGGGACGTCAGGATCGAAGCCCATGATGCCACCTCTATCACTGACCACACTGCCCATTATAGCACTTCCTTCATGCTTCACGCGATTTGGGGTATTATAGGACTTATTCCCCCCACTTGAGCTTTGCGCTCTTGCCTGTCTGACTTGGAGTTCCCGCTGCAAGGCAGCGCGAGCAGCGCGGACATCGCGGCCCAAAATAAACGAGTATGTGTTGACGTAGAAATGTCCATCGTCAAACTCTAGTTTTGCGAAGGCCTGAATGCGGGGTTCAGAACCGGCGATAGACTCCGTCGCGGCCTGAGAATTTTCCCCGTCGGTATGTGGTGGGGGTTCTGGATAGTTAACAATACGGGGAGTTGGGCCGAAATGAACATCTCCATTGAAGTAAGCGTCTGTGAGCAGTTCATTCTGTCGCAGTGCTTCCTTCGTGTTTTTAGGGGTACCCAAGGGTAGCAAACCGGAGCAAAGTTTTTCTAGCTCCGATTCCATCTTATCATTGTTGTTCCGTAAGGTATCCAACCTCATGTCTAAATCCTTGGATATGTTTGCCTCTGGAACCCCTTGTAACACATCGGCAAGGATATCTTGTTCTTTTTTCATTCCCTCATTCACTCCGTTGTTGTTAACTCCCCAACCAGGCTCCATCGCAGGGTCATTCACATCAACAGCCCCAGCGCCAGTGCCATTCACATTGTTCTCCAATTGCGCTGGTGGTTCTGAGACGTTCGAGGGTTGTTCCGGCAATACATCCTTGTCTTTTCTGGGGTCATCAGCTGCGAGTTTGGTTGGCAGGGCATCTTGTGTTGTATCATTGGCAGTCGGCTTGTTGGCAAAAAGTTGGGCTAGAAGAGCACTCGCGGCACTTTGCTTTTCCCGATCGGTCTGTTTCTTGTAGTCATCTACACATATCATATTGAGTCAGTTCCATATGACAACGGCTATATAGAAGTTTGAAGGAAACGCATACCCGAGAGGGCGGACAAGGCGGCAACCTTGTTCGGTACATCGGCCGGGAGGTCCCGGGAACAGTCACTGAGATTGTAGGCAGACCGATCTGGCGCCGCATCGTGAGGCGGATGGCCCATCAGCGACGTCGTCAGGGTCTGAGACGACGACATTTGCATGCAGTTGCCAGGGACCAACCCAACCTGCTCGAGCTCAAAGCGGTGAAGTTGAAGAAATGCAGTCAATCCTTGTAGGGTTTCTCCTTGGGCAGCTGCAGTCAACCGTAGACAGACAGAACTTGATCTGGCGTACTTAGGCTTACTTCGGTATAGTCCGCCTGGACGCATCGTTTAGCTATCCGATTTGGGTCTAGTGCGCTGCTGACTCATCACAACTGCGGCTGTGCTCTATACATAGATGGAAGAATGCTTTCCCCAGACAGTGCGTGCTAACAAATGATTGCATCCGCCGTATACGATGTATTTACTTCAATTGACATCCTGCTTTCCTCTGAAATTACCACACTTCCGCCCGTCTATATTCCCTCCCAGGATGTCGGACGCTGTGTCGCTTGATTGACCAATTTGCTCTGATATAAGGAATATTTTGTGTGGGTAGATCTTCCGGGAAAAGCACAGTAAAACTTCCGTGATCCCTGGGAACAAAGCCAAGGAATCTAGCACCTTGAAATTGAATATGAAATTTGGATGTCTGTTTGTCTTCAGAATAGGAAGTTTAACCAAACTGAGGGCGTGAAAATCAGTTAAAATGATGGGGAAGTCTCCAACTCTCGAAGAAAGGGCGCCTATTCTAAGAAGCGAAAAGATACCATCCATACTATGCTATTATGTAACCATTCATAGGTTTCCACCCACAATAACTCGGAGGGGACAATTGGATTTGTGGGGGCAAGGCAAGCATTGTGCCACTACGACAGCTACTTGTATACATGACAGTAGGAAGAAACAGAATGTGGACTGACCTCCCATTCACACATGTAATCCGGCTCCATCCACCCTGTACTCTGGCCAACAAAAGTCAAATATGAGGCCCTTAAAAACCTTATTCCCCTCTCTGTAGAAGTTTAGGTAGGTAGTCCGATTACAAATCTCTAAGACAGATCGATTGGCCCAGTGGTCAAGGCGCCCGCTTTACAGCGAAATCGCGGGAGATCGCAGGTTCGAGCCCTGCATCGGTCATTTTCTTTTTCATACCTGTTGTTCTCCAGACTCTTCTTGGAAAACCCCCCCCGGAATATCTCCCCAACGTCCCGCGGTTGTCCATTCAAGGCGGCAAGTGATAGCATGGTGAAGGTGGGGATTCGAACAGCGTAAGTCTTCATCTGATTTTATATTTATCATCCCATATAAATCTTTCTTGCCTCTTGCCCTAAGGTATTTTTATCTTTCATGATTTACAAGTCAATTCCCACCTCAATCATTTGAATCACGAAGCCGACACTAATCTGACTCTTTAAGTTGTGATATCAAACCACATTCAATCCGAAGCCACATCCCTTGTAAATAGTAGACCCAAAATATAACAGACACCCAACGAGAAAAGCAATAGTAAGACATAGATATACACAATATACCTAGAACAATGGCACCAAAAGCCAACAAAAAATCCTCCGCAAAACAAACCCCCTCCAAAACAACCTCTACCTCCATACCTAGCACCAGCACAAACACCACGCCCCCAAACTGGCCCCCCCTCAAACCGCTCATCCCCCCGTCAGACCTCCACCTCACAACCCTCCTCAAGGATCAAATCCTCATAATCCGAAACCTCTTCACCGGAACCCTCTGCAAAACCTACGTCTCCTTCCTCTCCTCACTGCCGCTGGTCACAACGCCCACACGACCCAAGAGGGGAGAGGCTGTGCGTTTCAACGATAGGTTCCATGTGCATGATCCGGCATTTGCGGAGAGGTTGTGGAGCTCGACTGCGTTGAGGGAGCTGGTGCTTTCTGATGAGAGTGGGGGTGGTGGGCAGGGGTTGTGGGGAGGAGAGGTCCTGGGGCTGAATCCGAATATACGGATTTATAGATATGGGCCTGGGCAGTTTTTCGATAGACATTGTAAGTTATATGCTATTTTATTATTATTATTATTTTGATTCCACCTAGATATCAGAATACCAGAGAAATGGGGGTTGTAAAATATAGATGACGTATGTACGGACTGTACAGTAAATGTATATGTGCATACATATCTTTTAAGGGGCAGTGTAGGGAGAGATCTACACGGATTCCGCCCCAACCCCCACCTCTTCCCTATCTACTATACATAATCACAATCACAAATTCCACCCATCTCTAACAAAACCAATTGTCCCCCTTATAGACGACGACTCCGTCCCCCTCTCCATCCCCTCTCCGTCTCCAACTAACAACAACACCACCACCACCACTACCACCATCCGCGCAAAAACTACCTGGACCCTCCTAATCTACCTAACAACCTGCACAGGAGGGGAAACTGCCTTCTACCCCGAGAAGCCCACAAAGGCATCCCGACAGCCGGACCCGGTTGTCGTGGGACTAGAGGCGGGAATGGCGCTGCTGCATAGGCATGGGGAGAGCTGTCTCCTGCATGAGGGGCGGGAGGTGACGGAAGGGGAGAAGTGGGTTATCAGGAGCGATTTGGTTGTTAGAAGATGATTTTGGGCTGGTTGGGGGGCGGGGGGTAGCTGGGAAGGGGTAGCTATTTCGGCTTTGGTATTTTTGGTACGATACATAGGTTATTGTGTGATATAGTTATAGCCTTTTTACTTCTTGCGTTTGAGAAAGGGTGAACGGATCTAACGTCATGAAATATACAACGTATGTTTTACCACTTGCAAGTTTTGTAGGTTTAAGTTTCACGATTATGGGCCAGGGACATATGGCTTGATTAGAATAAGGCGGGGAGACAACAGCAACATCAAGAAGCAGAGAATAGGAGGAGGAGAGGGAAAAGTGAAGAGGAAAGACGGAAATTCCAATTAAAAACACCATAACTAAAAATTATATGGAGAAAAGCAGCAGGCAGATGGTAACTAACTATGTTATATAGAAATTCACCCCATCAAACAAAAATCCAAAAGGAAGAAGGGAGGGAAAAGAAAATAGCTGTTGAGACGACAATTGAATGATTAAAAAGGCTGGCAGTGTTCGTGGATTGGGCAGGTGAGTAATAGAATAGTTATAGAACATGCGGGGTTGGTTTTTCTTCATTATTTTTTCCCAGAATCCTACATTTGAAAAAGAGCATTGGGTCAAATTATTTGTCAAAAATCATCAAAAAGCAGCTTCACATTTCACTTCACATTTCATTCATTCTTTAATTTTTTTGGGTATTTTTTTTTTCTTTTTCCTTTTTTTTTTTCTTTCTTTTTTTTTTTTCTTTTGTTCGCATTACCATTTTCCTTTTGAGCTTGTTTTTCCCATTTTTGATATTAGGTCGTCATTCATCAATCACTAATATTCATCATGCTCCACTTTTCAGCCCTAGTGAATTAACCCGCTCCGCTCCACCCCGCCCCTCCATCCCTTCACCTAAAATAAAATTTAGAAGAGTTCAACTTGCTATTTTTTAGTTTTACTTTGTTTCAGAGGGGGGAGTGGTAGGGAACAGCCTTCGTCTTATCACCCTGCGCAGCCGAAAAACTAGATAATAAATAAAAAAAAATAAAACACAATGCATATATGCAGAGACGACGCCCAACAGAAAACTTCGGAGTTAAAAAAAAACAGGAGCAAATGAAAACACAAAAGCGATCCTAAATGATAATGAAAAGTGAAAAAGTGAAGAAGGAACAAACCACCAGATTTACTCTGAAAGTAAGAAATAAACCGAATAAAAAGCAAAATAGAATAAAAATATGAAGCGGCATCCTAGATATGGAAATAAACCCCTACCTCCCTTTCTGCGCAGAATCACTCTCATTCGTCGCATTAGAAGCACCACCATTAGAAGCAGCAGTCTCATACTCCGCCCGCCTCATAATATCCTCCACAGATCCAAGCAGCCTCTTAAACCCATCCCTCCCCAATTGCGCAACCTTCACATCCGTCTTGGCAACCACACTCGCCGCCCTAGGCTTTTCATCCAACAACGAAAGTTCCCCAAAATAATCCCCCCGCTTATAATGTTTCACAGGCCCCTCAATGCCCTGCTTAAACGCCTCCGCCTCCCCAGATTCAAGTAAATAAAACGTATTACCAGGATCCCCCTCTTTGATAATCGTAGAGCCCGCGCTGTGCTTGACTGTGTCCAGCGCATCTGCGATCTTGGCGCGCTCGTAGGGACGTAGGGAGGAGAGAAGGGGAACCTCTTCGAGAAACGCTTCGTACATGCGGCGTCGTTGGAAGGCGGAGTCCATCAGGATGCGGCGGAAGGTGATGCGGTCCAGGGCCCAGAGGGTGGATTTGGGAACTGTTGAGATGACGGTGGCGGCACGGGGGGCATTGTACATTAGTGCCAATTCACCAAATGAGCCTCCCGGACCGATGGTTGTGACTTTCGTGCCTAGGCCTGCGGCGCCGCCCGGTTGCACGGAGCCGGCTGGGTTGATGTAGACGTCGAACACACCATTTTCGACGATGTAGAAGAAGTCACCTGCGTCGCCTTGGGTGATGACCTTGATGTCCTTTGCCGGTATTGGCTTTTCGACGAGGGCGTTGAGCACTGTGCGGAACTGTTCGTCATCCAAGTGAGTGAAGAGGAAGTTTGTGGAGACGGCTTTTTGGAGGCGGGAGAGTTGGACAGGGGTTTTGGGGTGGTAGGGGGGGATCCAGCTGTCTGCGCCTGAGTTGGAGGGGTTCAGGGATTCGGCGGAGACGGAGGTGCGGCGACCTAGGGCGTAGTTGTTTGGGAAGCTGGGGTCTGGGGGGCTGGTGCTAATGCTGGTGCCGGATGGGGGAAAGGAGGAGGGAGCATGGGATTCTTGGGGAACACTGGAGAAGGGGTTGCGGTGGAATGAGTCGCCGTCGGCTTCTGCGTCGCCTCCTCCACCTCCAGCTGCGCTGGTGCTGGTGCTGTTGCTGAGTCCGCTAGGGCCCGCTGGATGATCTGTGGGGGAACGAGAGGTAGCGGCAAGATATTGATGACCGGGGGCGGTGTGGTGGAAGTTGGTTTGTGTGGGGGACGAGATGAATTCGTCTTCTTCTTCTATCTTGGAGACGTCGGAGGTCCCACTGCCGAAAGGGTTGGGGCTGGGGAACATATTACGGGCCATTGCGAGGGGACCTCTTGAGGCAAATAAATGAGCCAGCTTGTCTGTAGCGAGGTAGTTCTGGGGCGGTTTGGTTGGTACGGACAAAGTCTGTCAGGATGGAGCGGGGAAACTGGATAACGGTATGAGGAGGGGTTAGAGGGATGAAGAGATCAGCAGGGCAGAAGTGATTGTGATGGAGTTGGAGGTGACGAGCATTGATGTAGAAAGAATGGGATGTGGGAGGCGGTAAAGAGGTGGTTTAAGTTAACGTGGTTTAAGCGGAGAGAGCATGGGAGACCGACAGAGGGACAGTCCAGTGATACCGGGAAGGGGCAGGACAGGGCCTATTATTGTCGTTATTACGGGCAGGTTTTTATTTGTTAAGGGGTGATGGATAATAGGATCATAGCGGGAAGAACAGCTGAAGGCGAGCTATAGCTTAGCCTTAGGGCGTATTAGTGGGGTGCTTAGAACTGCTAGGCATGAACTATCCGCTGCAGCCTGCTAATAATAGGCTGGAATAGGCAAACGACGGGGATCCCAGGCTTCGAGAAGCCGCTAGAAAACTAGGCACTCTTGAGAGGGCTTGAAGCGATATTGAAGGGACATTAGCCAACACCACCACAAGACAATGGAGTGGGCATGAACTGCTTTTATAATGTTACTTCTTCTATGTACCTCTTATAACTGTCGATATATTTATTATTCTTCAAATACCGAAAGGTTTACAGCTTCGAGAAGTTAGCAAATGCGCAACTAACTAATTCCTCACCGTTTTTTTTTTTTGGATATCCCTGCTATAACTAATTCGCACACAATAGCGCCATCGTGGCCTCTCTTTTAAAAAAGTCTTTAAGAGCGCGGGTTGAGCCAATATGGACATGATTTAATCTAACCACCAACTCCCCTGTCCTCAAGTTGCTCGCTGCTCACTCATCCCTTTCACGGTTCTCTGTCTAGCACGGTCTGCCCTCTTGAACAAGAACGGTGACAACTTGTGGCCTGTTTTACAATAGTTACCTTTATCATCCACTTTCGTTTGCCAGAGGCTGCAGTGGTCGACATTCCAATTTTTTTTTTAATTTTTTTTTATTAATGTGTCGTCAACAGCCTATCACGATCATGCAATTCAATGGTAGGAAGAAGAAATATAGAATCGAAAATAGATATTTGGGTGGGAGGGCGACGGATCGGAATCATTGGATCAATATTCTTCCTCATGTCGTGGGACGGGTTTCCAATTGCGGGGGAAACTAGCCATGCTAGTTCTGGACCGTACCATCACATCCCCCCCCCCCTTTTTCCAGTCCCTCATTCTTTGTTCCCAAGTCGTCTATGATTTCTTCCATCCCGATTTCAGCCATTTTCTAGAAGATTGCCCGCTTCTAGCTCCCAGGTGATTTATTTGGATATCGTTCCATTTCCGTTCCATAGCCATATCTTCTCCTGTCTTTCCGGAATGTTGGTCGAAGAAGTACAACCCAAAACACATCAATAACACGAGGTATTTTCAATAACCCATAGATACCACTTCTACTTCTTCTTCTTCTTCTTCTTCTTCTAAATTTTCGATTTTTTTGCTTCTTCCTTTTTCTACATTATTTCTTTTCTTTTCCTTTCAGCGTAAAGCCGCCGACTGGCTCCCTTGGTGGTCAACGGCCGTTCAAGGGATCTACGCTCAGGCCACGGCTTAACCTTATCTGCAAAGCCAACCTGCAGACTGCAGCATCAGTTTAGTAACTAACGACAAAATATACAGCCATTCGTCACTAAGTACACCCTTGAAAATCCTCGAAGCAACAGTTCTACACAACACTGCAAACATATCTTCACTAGCTAGCCCGCTTTCTCCCAGGTGTTACGAGTTCGAAGTCTTTTTGCAATTTCAGAGGGCAACCGCGCCAGCATATTTATTCAAATGATAAAAAAAAAGACCTCTTTAATCCAGTGATGAATCATTGCGCCTCGTACGTTCATACATACAGGACGGACGGGCCTCCGGTCACTTGAAGATGGAATTAGCATTGGTGAGCCGAAGAACCTGCTCTTTGACATCATGGATTTCGCGAGGTACCGTAACTTCCAGCACCGTCCGCCACCTGACGAATCAATTCTAATCTCCAACCTCCCGATCTCCCAGTCCCACTTGCTAGGCGGGTATCTATCCATTGCCTTCAACAAATTTTGTGGAACGTGCTGAGGCTAATCATCTCCGGGAGCACCATCCCCTCTCCCCGACTCAAATGAACCCAAATTAACCGTGCTTTGAGAGACATATTTTCAAATCAAAGAAGAAGGCCCTTTCACCTCTTCAGTGCCATTGAAATACTCACCTCTGCTAGAGACCTGGGTCAGTCAATCATCAGAAAGAACTCATCAAGCGGCACTTGGCATACTCATTACTTTCTCTGTCCTGAGAAAAGCTTAACTGCTTTCCTAAGAAGAGAATGGGAGTCGTATGGCGTACGTTCTAGAATCTTTTGAGAGAGAAAAAATTGGCTTTCCTGGAAGGACACTTCTCAAAATCATGACCACCCCCTCTGCTCCTGCCACCGTATGGTGCGGTCTGCACATTGTTATAGCATGGAACGCAGTCTCGAAGAGTTGTTGATATCGGTGCCTTCGGTGACGTGGATGAGGATTGACTGAAATTGAGAGGAGAGAATATTGTCCTCTCTGTCTCTCTGTCCCTCTATCTTTCCCAAACGTACTCTCTCTTAAAACTGTGTAAAAAATATTAAATTAGAAATAAAAAAGGCTCCTGTGGAAGCTTGTTCATGGTTTGCCATCATGGCCGGATGGCGAATGGAGGAGTGAGAGATCAGAAGTCAGGAGACCACTTACAACCAGTGCGTCAAAGGGATCAATCCTTAAAACTGCGGGAACTCCAAGGATATACATGATAATATCCGGTATGCGAAAGAACGCGTGGGGGGTTAGAGAAGAGATAAACTCCATGATCCGGGAGTTAAGCGAAGGTGATCTTCTCTCTGAGAAAAAGAGAGATGCCAATACGACCTGACCGATTGACTGATGAGAGCCTATATGATATGTTCTATGTACTAAATATATATATTAAAAAAAGGGAATAACTATATAATACTGATAATAATAAATAAACAAAATGAAAAAAGAAGATATAGAAACAAAAGAACCAACACTGTATTAACAATTAACAACCTGGACATAGAACCTACTTGAATATAATCCTCTTAGCCGCGGATTAAGCCGTCATCTCATGGAACCAACAGTTCCAATTATCTGCAAATCGTTTCAATATCATTATCGAGTGAGTCATGGACATGTATGTTTTGTAGCTTGAATGCATGCACGTCCTCATATTCTACCATGCACCCCATATGCTGCGAACATAATCGGTGCCACCCAAAGCATTACCTAGATTGGACAAAAGTGCCTATGTATTCCATATATTCAAATCCATAATTGCACAGGATAACAGGATAGGAACCTAGACAGCCCATGTATGGATGTGCGTATCAGCGAATCGGTAGAAAAGGAAAAGGAATCGTTCCAGGACCATTTTTCGAAAATCTTCCCTCTTTAGCGGTTCAACGAAACGTATCCGACTCAAACCTTTACACCAACAGCGAAAAAGTACTGGTATATATGTATTGCGGTTCTCTTTTCTTGCATGCTGAGAGTATTTCCCTCAAAGAGCTGCGAGCATGTGTCTTCATTTGTCTGGTAGAATGGAACTAAACTGAACTGAACCGGTCAGGGTTTCAAACTCTGTGCCGTCGAAAAGCCGGAATCATGGGACTATAAACAAGGTATTCTCGTCACTTCCGTTGAGCCGTATCGCATCAGGTAGGACTGTATAGTTAAGGCCGTAGCAAAAAACACCAACCACGGGATACCAGATGCTTATTTATACAGATATAGTTTAACTATTAGTTAGCAAAAATGTGACTTGATAACTGTGGAACCCTAGGATGATATGAGTCTTCAACCCGCTAAAATAGCCCAACCAGCCTAATTTTATAACTTTTGTATCTGACCTTTGCTCAAACCAATAAAACAATCTCCGCGCGGCAACATAGCAAGTCAAAACTTCTCCAACAAAAGGAAACAATTGAAACAAACCCACACTTTGTCTCTTTCATCTCTCACAGGGTCTCACAGCGCCTCTTTTCTTGTGCAAAACAGCCACCCCCTATCCAATCTAGTTCGAGAAAACTCACCCCCAATTCCAGCCTCACTGCCCAAGATCATCTTTGTTTGTACACCCCCAAGGCTATATAGTCAGCCTTAGACAGGTCAGACCAAAAATCCAACAATCCAGCAGATACAACATGGCAAAGAATAGACATAACAGGAGCCGGAAGTCGAATAGGCCTCCGTCCGGCGCGACCAAGACTCCAATGGTTATGCACACATTCCAATGGTAGGTCCTTCAGAGAACGCAGGAGCTGAACGAACCCCCACCTCCCCCCGTCGCACGCGCCCTGATATATTCCCACGAAAGAGAAACGTACGACGAAGAAAGAGGACGATGCTGTGCGCTACCCAGCCGTATTCCAGAGTCTTAAAAAAGCAGACAGCGAAAATAGCCCTCAGATCTTCCCAACTGGTCGACTGTGCAGCTCCTCTTCCTCTCACCCCCTTCCCCCCGCTCATCCCCCTTTTCCTCCTCACCACCCCTAAAGCTACCCCGATGGATATATCCGGTCCGACATGACGATGGATTTTAATAGCTAACATGATTCTACTGTTTTTCATTTACAGGTCCGACACAACGGCGAAGGAGGTGTATGTCACGGGCACATTCGATAACTGGGGGCGAACGGTGAAGCTGGATAGAACTGAAGATGGCTTCCGAAAGGACGTTGAAGTGCCAGCGATCAGCACGAAAATGCTTTACAAGGTAATTCAAGAACCATCCATCCCTTTTTTTTTGTTGGAGAGAGAATTGGACGCTGCATGCAATCAATAATTAAAAATAATAAAAAAAAATTAAATAAGTACAATGTGCTTGCGCGGTGGGTATATCTACGGAGCATTTTTATTTAATGTTACTTTATGACGCGTCTGGTTCCCCTTTTAAAGTCCATTGGCGGTTCGTTCATGCTCCTCTTCTTGGTGCAAGCAGCGAGAAGTCGTCAGATGATATGTTTTTTTTTTTTTTTTTTTTTTTTTTTTTTTTTTTTTTTTTTTTTTTTTTTTAAATATGACGATGATCTCACCGCTAAGTTGGGCTATTGCTCTGAACCCTTCTCCACTATTTCCAATCGCTTGCTCAGGCTCTAGGTTGCCCTTGAAGCCCGCTGGCACCCGGCTTGCTCTCTCTTGTGCGGGCCCAATTGGAGAGACGAAATGGGCAATTTAGTGCGGCAACATGAGAGGACGAGGACTCTGATTTGATTGATTGTGTTGCTGTCTCTATTTTTATTTGGTTATTTCACCGCTCTGGACGGGGCAGACACAAAACAGCCATTTTTGCTTTTTCCAATATGCCCGTTTTCCATTTTTCCTTGTTTGGCAGCTCAAGTAAGTCAGTTGGGTACTTAGGAGCAACTCGGCATTTGCTGTACCATCCCATACCACGTGAGGTACCAAGCTAGTACTTGTGCTGCCGTTTCATACGTCATTTATTCGCCATCCTCCCGCCCCTTGGCTGAGCGCATGCCGACTTGTACCGACGTCAGTCGGATGTTGTTTCGACAGCAATCTCCCAGCCCACACTTCCTTGTCTCCCTCCAAGGTTATATTCTGATCATCCCAACTGTCATCCCCAACGTCCTCATCAACTCCGCAATTTGCAATCCCATAATTCTCGCATATTTACATCTGCGCAACGTTGATTTACATTGAAACTACCCTTGCACAACTTAATTCGTTTTCTTGCATATTTCTGATTTCGTTGTTTCCCTCCAACTCTCTCCATCCCTCAAATACCACATTTTCAGCTCGATTGCTGGACTGACCTGTTGTATAACTCTCTTTGCCTAGTTCGTCGTCGACGGTGACTGGAAAATAGATTCTGCTGCTCTACAAGAAGACGACGGGCACAATAATACCAACAACGTCCTTCTCCGCCAGCACATCAAACAGCTCCCTCCTCCCTCGAAGGATACAACCGAGCCAGATACTGTAGGAGAAATTGAAGCTCCAGCAGCCATGTCTGGAGTTACACCGCATTCCACAACCGCTGCCCTAGCAGCAGATGTTCCCAAAGAGTCGCACAAGGCTCCTGAAACTGATGCCGCTCCCTCTGTGCCCATCACATCGTCCGCGTGCCCGGAGTCGACCACCGCCAATCTCGCGAAAGACGTTCCTCTAGAGAGAAAAGCAGAATCAACCCCGGGAACATTCCCAGTGACACCTGCCAAAGAGCCAGAGCAGTTCTCCGTCAACCCCATCCCAGCTTCGGAGGGTATTGGAAACCCTGTGCACATCAAGCCGGGCGAACCCGTCCCAAACAGCAGCACCTTCAGCAAAAATACTATCGCATCCACCGCTACAACGGACAAAGCAGGTTATGAAAAAGACGCCAGCGCCCCCAGCTTCCTCCCACTTCAAGATGATGAAACCGTCACCACCCATCCAGTAACGACCAATGGTTCCAATCGATCCGTGGAACCATTCATTCAAACGGCCAGTCCCACATCGACAACTGCGGCTCTTGCCGGAGCAGTCCCGCTAGAAATCACCAGGGCTCCTAACGGCTCCGTCTCCAAGGGCCCGGAATCCTCCGCCAAGGAAGTCCCCGAAGTAGTCAAGGAGTCCATGTCGAAAGCTCACAAGGAACCCGAAGCCGCAGGAGATTCAGGCTGCGTCGCTGAGAAGGCGGAGGTTGAGCGACAGTTGCTAGAGAGTGTGCACCCGACCGATGCCTCCGGAGGGGTTCCACCGATGGTCCGACGTTCCATTGACTTGGCGCATGCGGATCCCGAAGCAACCGCTGTGCCTGAGGCTGTAGTGGAGAAGGAAGAGGTTGAGCGTCAGCTGCTGCGGGAGGTGAAACATGATGATTCGGCTGGTGAGCCTGCGCCAGTGATCACGGCAGAGACTTCGCCTACCGTTCCTGGTGGGACTCCCCTTGCGGCGAAGGAATATCAGGAGCAATCCATTTCTCCGAAATCTAGAGAGCCAGCGCCAGCACCTGCGCCTGCAGATAAAGATGCCGCCGCACAACCGGTCGTCACTAGCGGTCCAGAAGCCACCACTGCCCCCGCTGTGACACAAGCACAGCCCCCGGCTCAACCTCAGCAACAGCCAGAGGGGCAAGCGGAATCTGCTGCGAAGGATGCGGACAAGTGCAAGAAGAAGAAGAAGAAGAACCGTGCCAGCGCGATCTTCTCGAAGCTGAAGGAGAAGTTTAAGTGAAGAGGACAAAAGTATTTTACAAAGATGGGGGACAATATCAAATTCACGCAAGAAGAGGGGACGTTGTGCTGTTTCGATTCCTTTTTGCTGTTTGTCGAGTTTTGGTGGCGATATCATTATATCGAATTGAGCCTGCTTTTTTTTTTGGTAGTAGGGGGGGGGGGGGGGGGCCTGCGGGGGTGGGAGAATTTGAGCCACCGGATATTTAGGGGCTGAGCCTGAGACTGAGACTGAGACCGGCGGGATGTCAGGGTGTTTGTGTTTGGGCAATACCGTATACCCGATTCTTTTCTTTCCTTTCCATGTTCGTTAACTACCCTTTTCTTCGTCATATCCATAAATCCTTCGCATATGTATGTGACACATGTTTTATTAGGTATTTCGTATATTTTATGCCCCTCTTCTCAAGTGTTGGCAGGCTGATTAGCTAGGCAGGCTGATTAGCTAGGCGGTTAGTTTGATTCAATGGTTCTTCAATGTCTAATAATGAAAACAAAAAATAAATAAATAAATAAATAATAAGAGAGAAAAAAGAAAAGAAAAGAGAATCAAAGAAAAAGCAAGAAGAAAACTTCGGTTATCCTTTTCATCATTGCTCTTCTCCTTGTTCCTCGGGGGCCCTGCACGCAGTGTGTCGCACAGCTTACTTCATAGTTACATCTTCTTTTCTTTGAATGCCATTACTCATCATCTATATCAGCGAGGTACGTCACTTCGTCGTCCCTTACTGGATGGCAGTGGAATTACCGCAGTTTGATGATATGGGGAGACGGGCCCTGACGAGACAACAATACACACTTCGAACTTGAAATGCAACGTCCCAAGATATTAAACAACATCAAACATACCCGGGGAGGGATCTCCCGACACGGGCTGCCTCTCCCCGCCTCCTTAACTAACTAAGTTCTTAATATTTTCTGCCACCACACACATTCTTAAATAACTGCTCCGCAGTTTAACTAGAGCCGTCCATCCATTCTCTATCACGACAGCGACACACAACCGCCCGATTCAAAGGAAGCTCTGCTGAACTCATCTTGTTGGAGCCCGCGAACAAAACTGGCAACCTACTCGGTGTTTGAGATCGCAATTCCAGGCCCGTCGAGCTTTGTTCCCAACCGGTTATTCCGATGGCCAAGGGAAGCACGAAACAGAAAAATTAACGCACCGGGGCAGGAAACTTGGAATTATTATTATTATCATCATTATCATCATCATCATCATCATTATTGTTATCATTATTTTCTCGACTCACTGACTCTTGCAGGGTATTGGCTTATTGACTGACTGACTGATTGATCAGTCGACAACGCCCCACAAGGGCTAGGCAACCGCTCCAGAGTTAATGTTTCCGATCTAACTAAACTTGCTCTCGAACCATTGCTTCAGCTTATCAGCTGGGCCGTTAAGCTCTGGTAAAATATGTCTAAGAGGACCGACCACGAAGCAATGCGGATATCAAAAAATAAAATAAAAATAAAAATAAAATAGAAATAGAAATAGAAAAGTAATACACAAAAGAAAGAAAGAAAGAAAGAAAGAAAGAAAGAAAGAAGAAAACGGGAAAAAAGGAAAACAAAGGACAGGGTAAATAAAGAACGCACTGTAACTAATTAGCTGCTGTGAACTTGTCAAGAAAAACGGTCTGTTCATGATGCACTGGCACGTTTTTTCCCACTTCTTCAGCTGCTGCTCATGCTGATGCTGATGCTGCGGATGCTGCTGCTGCTTCTTTCCCCTCTCCCCTCTCCTTTGCCTTAGCTTAGGCCTTTCCCTGCCTGTTGCTCTCATCATCTCTCCCTTCTCCCTATCCCAGGCCATAAATACCCCCCCAAGCAGGCAATAGAAAAACTCTTTCTTGATATTCGAAGGGGTGCAGAAACCCCCGGCTCGCCAACATCATCCCCCCCCCCCCCCTAGTCCAAATTAATTTAAAAAGAAAAAAAGAAAAGAAAACGTTCATAGACACACAAACCCACACCCTATTACATGATATGGTATAATGGGAATTGTCCATCTTACCCGCGCCCGCCGGCTGAGCATCATCATTGCCATATCCTTCACATTCTTCCTAGCCGAGATTTCAGGTAAGATTTGGCTGGTTAGCTGGCTGCTGGCTGCTGGCTGCTGGCTGCTGGCTGCCAATCCTTCTGAATGACGCTGGTATCCTAACTGACGATGGTGTATGGTTTAAAATAGTTGGTTTCTATACGCGGTCTTTAGCTCTGGTTGCTGATGCCTTCCATTATGTAGGGGAACTTGTATCCAATCCATGCTGTCCTAACTAAAGCCCTCATTTCTTGTCGATGCGGTCAATGAGGCCACTTGCGTCGTGTGCATAACCCATTTACATCTGCATCTGTTCCTCTGTTAACCTCAGCACCCATATAGCTAAATGACCTTATCGGCTTTGTCGTTGCTCTGGCGGCCTTGAAGGTATGGTTCCAAGCTTCTGATATTCGGTCTGTCATATCAACGAAAGTAAACACAGATGGAATCGGTATTATGCTAACTAACATCGCCCCTCTAGGTCTCCGAGAAGCCAGGAGTAACCCCAAGCAACCTCACCTTTGGCTGGCAGCGCTCGCAGCTCCTGGGCGCATTTTTCAATGGCGTCTTCCTGCTGGCTCTAGGCGTGAGCATTCTGCTTCAGTCCATCGAGAGGTTCATATCTCTAGAGAGTATGTGATATGCTCCCCCTACTTCTTTCCGGCTCTCCCTTTAGTTGCAAAGTTCCCATTGATACGTCAGACGTACCATAACCCCATCGACTCACATGTGCGTATGTAGAAGTTGATAAACCGGAACTGGTCCTTATTATTGGTTGCGTCGGTCTCACCCTGAATATTATTAGCGCCTCCTTTCTTCACGGTGTGTATGCGTTGGGAGCAGCTTATTATCTTTTTCTCCATTTCTCGCCCTTCCTCCAACCGTCCGAGAGTATCACTGCTGACGACATATTAGAGCACGACCACAGCCATGGTAATGCCGATGTCGCCAACGTTGAATCAGATGCAGAGAATGACCGGACCGCCATAGCAATGGAACTCGAAGATGTAAGTCTTTTCACCACCGCTGCTGGAGTTTATCTATTCTGTGTACGAAGGAACACAGGGGGAATAAATCAGGCACAGATATCACACACGTCCTAAGAATCCTCACAGGTCGAGACCACCCACGAAAACCATCGACACACCACCAACTCATTCTCCGTAAAACATTCACACGATTTGGGCGTCATGGGCGTGCTTCTCCACGTAATTGGGGATGCTGTCAACAATGTTGGCGTCATTATTGCCGCAGTGGTTATTTGGAAAGCTAAATATGAAGGGAGATACTATGCAGATCCCGGAGTCAGTGTTGGAATTGGACTGCTGATCCTAGCATCTGCCATTCCGCTTGGTAGGTTCCCTCTCCACAAAACCGGATTACATACACAAAGTATAAAGTCTAACCCACATCTTCTCTCCCCGCCAATGGTTAAACAGTCAAAAACAGCGGCTCCATACTCCTCGAAAGCGTCCCGCTTGGAGTTAGTCTAGACGATGTGCAACACGATCTGGAAAACGTATGTAAATAAAATACATCAACTACCCGCCCCCAAACCCGAAATCACTTGCATATCTCAAAATTAAAGTTATATAAAAAACAAGTAATACAAAACTATTATATGTATATATTAACACTCCGTACAGATCCCCGGCGTTCTTTCCGTCCACGAACTCCACGCTTGGCGCCTAAACCAAAACAAAGCCATCGCCTCTGCGCATGTCGTCACCTCCGATTCCTCCCTGGCAAACTTCATGGCCCGCGCCCAGCGCATCAGCGAATGCCTCCATGCCTATGGAATACACTCAATTACGCTGCAGCCGGAGCTTGTGTCTCATGGGGTAGCCGTGGCTGGTGGTGATGTCACTGTTTCAGAGACGGATATGAGGCGCAGCTATTCGGAGGAGTCCGAGGAGGGGTTGCAGCTGAGAAACCGGACATGCAAGATTGTTTGTAAGAGCGGGTGTGAGGCGCTTACCTGTTGTGGCTAGGTGATGTTGATGGGCTGTGGGTGGGTGGTGTCGAAGGGTCTTGAGAGGATAACGTCGTCGTGTGTGTGTATTCAACTAGCTCACCGGAATCTTTACAATCTATGGGGAGGCACGTTATTAGGGTAGCGGCTGTATCCACAAACACTGCCCCCCCCCAAATGCTGCGGCAAACTCTGCCACTCGGGCGTTGCTATCTCAGCTCAAATCGTTCGAATCCCCAATAAAAATAATTAATTCCACAATCAGACACTGAATTCCCGAACAGGGAAGCAGTCCGTACACGCCACAACTTTGACTGTAAAATTCAACACAAATAACACGCTATCCTGTAACTAGTTACCACAAAAGAACATCTAATCTCTGAAACCAATCCTAACTTCTCAACAAAACCAATGAATGCAGGCTTCAACTAGAGGCTTCGTGAATCTGTCTGTCTGCCTTATCCAAGATGAGGCCTCTGTGCAGCAGCTCTACCTCACCCTTCTCAACTAGATCACGAAGGATGTGGCAGCGGATTTCAAGATGATGTCGGTGTTTAGGTAAAGAATTCCCCCCTTCATGAGATCAATGATGCTCTTATTATCCATCCAATGTTCATTATTGTCAATCATCGTAGTTCACATACAGCTTTCATTCAGCCTCTGAACCTGATTTGACAGGTGATGTTTGACACTGCGAGTGTCATAAGATAGAGAAAGTTATTAATCATTGTAATGCTTGATGGTGTATCGAAAGAAAACAATCGAATGCTTCGGAAATATTCCCTCTGAAAAAAGGTCCTTGATGGAATATGATAGTGCAACTATTACATGACCAGGATGCTTTGATGGCCTTCGTCCAAAATAAAATAAGGGGGAACTTTGGACATAGCCGGAAAGGCGCATAGAGACATTTAGCGGAATCACTACATTTGCGGGGAACAAAGCCAAACATAAAAGGCGCCTCTTCTGGTAATTCAATAGTTCAATTCAACGGTAATCTAGAATATGTGAAGAGTGAACGCAGCATCGTTGTGCCTTGCAGACAGAGGGTAGTTAAGTCCTTCCAGATTCTCGGCGGCTTGGCCGTTGTGTGGGGATAAAGCGGAAGTCGATGACCCTTGTCGGTCCGTCGCAGGGATCTAACTGGGGGGGAAATATCACCGTAAAACGAATGAAAATTATACTGAACATCAATGACAGATTTTAGGCTTCCAGATAGCAATTACTCCTAGCATTCCCCCATCAGAACAATCAATTCAAGACTTGCAAAACATGCCTATGTTTGAGCGGTAATGTTAATCGGCAAATGCTTTCCGGCAGTCAATAGGCAGCTCTTTGACTTCTCCGCTCGAGACAGACATGCGGTACAGCTGAGAGGAAGCTTCTGCCCAGCGGATGGTCTCAGATCCTTTACTGGTAAAGGTTTGTCTTGGTGTATTCGGTTGACGCATGGATATGTGCCTATGCACCACGTTAAACCTGCGGTAGCCAACCCAGCAACCCAAGTCTTACACGTTGGGTTTTCACGAGTCATGCATACTGGACCACTTGTCCATCTATGAATTCGACCTGTTGTATGAAACCTGATTTCTCCGCCCGATTTAGGGTGATAGGTCTGTCTATAGAACGAATAGACATTGCATGCTTCTGAACAAAGGATTTAGCTCCTCTTCAAGCTGTTTTCCGGGGCACTGCCTCATTCCATCCAACTTCCCGACAACACATATCCAAGTTGCTCCAGAGTGGAGCAAACCAACCCTCCCCCAACAGAATTGTATTTCAATGAACCATTGGCGGGTGCGAAGTACCCGGTAAGGAAAATGTTGCAGCTGTTTACTGCTGATGCGCTTTCGATTGGTGACGCCTCGTCTCCAGGATATCTCTCCGCAGCCTCTCCGCAGCTAACTCCACATCGATTATGCCGCCAACTCCACGTTTCCACGCATCTTCCAACCCCACAAGCTCGCCCTTAGCCGATTCCTGCCTCAGCTTCCTCTCTTTATGGACGGCCTCAGTGGCCTCCTTTGTTTCCTGTAGTTCCTTCTCAATCCGCCGTAGTATATCTTCCAGCTGAGAGTTCCCAATAAGCCACGCGTTCTTCCCATGTGCATCCAATAGAGATAGATTGACTTGTCTGATAGAAAGATGGGAGCTTGCTGTGTATGCCCTTTGAAGTGTCTGTTTCCAGTTGTTAAGAGCCTCAGCAGGTGCTTTACCTGATGCCAATGTATCCTCAGGAGCGTCTGGCGCCTCGTATCTTGAAAGGTCAATGCCACCGCTTAGGGGCAAGTTAGCCTCTTTCCGGTCGAGCTCCTGTTTGATGAGGTTGGAGAGCTTGATTTGGGGCAGAGCGGGAAGGGAAGGATGAAGGTTCGTTCCAAAATTTGGGGGTAGTTCTGCGGAGATGAGCTTGTCAATGTGGGCACGAGCCTGCGTTGTGGGCTCATCGTCGATATCTGTCCAGATGTTAGTGTTGGCATTTATCAAGGATGTGACCCCAGTTGGGAAAATATGGAGACATACAAGGTAGCGAATCGTGGAAGTAGTTGATAAGCGGCATTTCCCTTCGTTGAGGCTCTATATATAGCAGAAGACAGATGATTGTATGTGGCCTGACTTTATATTTCCCTGTTCGGCGATGTCCAGAAATAGTTGATGTTTGAACTTTCTGCCATTGAACCGTAAAGTACGTAGCGGTGTGCTTATTCTGTCAGCCAATACGAATATTACCGCCCACGCACCAGGATCGTGACAACAAGAGTACAAAACGATGTCTACTATAGACAGTCTATCCGTAACGATTTTACAAGTGTATACTCTGTTATAACTAATTGTAATGGATTCGATGCTTTTGAATCCCCGTGGATCATCGTATGGTTGATACGTTGGGCGTCTAGAGGCTGAACTGGAAATATTTTTGCCGCAATATGCGCGATCTATGAACGACGGTAACTAACTATATAAATACAGAACAACCCTCGTCAGGCTTCCAAACTCCAAACGTCCGCCATGCATGTCTGCCTCCCAATATCCATTCTTTGCGGATAAGTTTCCAAGGTTGGTGTGCCAAATCAAATGCTGTCACCAGCAAAATCATCAAATTCTGCTCTATCTTCAACTTCATCATCTTCAGTCCATTCTACTGTCAAGTTTCTCCTCATGCTTAATGTTACTCTCATATGCAGTTCTTGAAATATATGCAAACATACTTTTTCTAGATCCTAACATCAAAATGAAAAGGTTATTGTATGAGGCTTTTCTAATAATCTAGTCACTAATGTTATATTATTTGAAGTAAAATACTTCAGTGAGAAAATTACAAAATCTAAGATTAATATTCATATAACTAATTTAGATTAAATTAGTCATAAAATGATATACTTTATTTTTTTTTTTAGTTCCTTTTTATATAAACAAGATAAACTTAATAAATGCTGATTGTTAGAAATATCTTTCTGATTTTACTTCTAAAAGCTAACTACTAATCGTGCTGCTGCGCAACTCATACCTCGTGTGAGTGCACTATACCAAAATGATAAAAATCTTGAATCACATCCTCATTATTGCACTCTATATCAACAACCAGTAGCTAATTTATAATAAAAAGATTATCTACATTATTTTCAGTATATGTGTCATCTCTAAATTGATTTAATTCCTCTTCTATCAGTAGTGTGAGTGGGTTATTGTCAATTTTCATAAGATCAACTTCAAGTCTCTATCATTTCTTATTCTGCTCTTTTTCAGCTTTATTATTCTTATGCTGCTTGATTTTTCTATTGATATCTTTAATAGTGAGGACTTTCTTTACTTGAATTTGATAATGAATTATTTTAGCTTTGCAGTGTTTACTGATGTTAAGAAAGTTCTCTATTTCAGTAGTATATTGCTCATTAAGTTCTGCATATATTAGATTTACTTTGAATATCTTATTTAAACAACATGTCAAGATGAGTGATTTTAAATTAAGAGTATCTCTAATACTTTATATGATATTTTCTGCAATATTGATATAGTGTTTCAGCTTTTGAATTGTCTTTGATAAGAATAGTTGAGAAGAAAAGATAGATATGTGATCTAAATCATTTTCATCTTTATAAATCTGCAGTGAAAGAGGTGATGAGATTCACTTCATAAAAGTGTCAAGAACTCAGTCATAATTTCATGAATATATATCATGTTGAGTCTATTCTGCAGCTATTGTATCAAATTTAAAGATCTGCTTTTATATAATTGAGTGATTTTGTAGAAACTGCTATTTTTCATACTTAACAAAATTATAATGTACAGCATAGTTGACTGCTTTTAAATAATAATGTTTATATTACTGAAATGATAGACTATTTAGAGATTGTAGTAAATGAGTGACATGTAATGAAAATTTATATAAAATTATTTTATAAAGATCTATGTATTATATAAACTTCTTAGTGATAAAAGATTCATAATTATTCATTAAAAGTAATTGATGACTTCTTTTCTGTCTTTTTTTTGTAGCAGTATTAAAATGTTTAAGTCATTCAAATCTAATCTCATCATTTATAAATTCAGTATCTGATATATTAATTTTATAATTGCTGAGTAAATCTATCTGTGTATATTAATTCTTCAAGTATGTTTTGAAGGCTAAGATTATCAATAACAGAATGGTATAATTATTTATAGATACATATTTAACAACTGTAATTAAATTTTTTAAAAAAAATAATAAAATAATGAAATTAACTTCTTTAAAAGTAGTTATAACTCATTCTTCACATTTTTATTCTTCTTAAAATTCAATTTTATTGAAGTTATATGTGTCACAGATATGAAATTAATACTGCTTAAATAGAATCTGAGAACATTCAAATCATGTATTAATATATTCAATATCTTCAACTGTCACTCTTTTTAAGTTTATTGACTTCTGTTTCACTCTCTTATACTCAGATAAGCATTCAATGAATCTATAAGTTTATATCTTGCTGACTTTTGAAGAAGAGATAGTAGAATCTATGTGCTAATATTTGAGTATTAAATTTGCAAAATTTTTAATATATTTAACTGCTGTAAAAGAATAATTTTTTATATCAAGTAGCTTGACTTATTATTTAATCATATTCTTCTAACTTTTATTTAATTTCTTGTTAACTGTAATTTTTGCAGTATTCAGATTCCTTCTATTGATATACACTCAGAAATATTGATAAAGAACTTTAAATTCTTATGACAGAGATAGTATTTTAAAATTTGAGTTTTTTTGATGATAAGTAACAGCTTTTTGAATATAATCTTCAATATTTTTATCCTTATTTGACATTGTAGTGAGTTATTAATTGATGAAGATGATGAAGATGATAAAATTACAAGATTTTTATCATTTTGATGTTTTTACCATTTTGGTATAATGTACCCACACAAGGTGTAGATTGCGCAGCGGCATGAATATAACTAGTTAACTAACTAGTTAGTTATTAAAGTAACTATTAATAAGCATTTTATTAGAAATATATTTTACTTCTGCAGAAAATGTAATAATTAAAATAATTAAATCTTTTAAATGATGATTAATAAAAACTACTATGAGTATTAGCTCATAGATAACCTTTTAAAAGCACTTTAATTGAAAACATATCATATATAATATTATACGTTCTCATTCATTGACATTGAATAGTAAAAGTTGAGACGATATCTTTTTATTAAAGAGAATTCAAAAGCAATTATAACTACTACTTTTTAATATACCCATTCTTCCTGAATAAAAGAAGATAAATTTTATATGTGATAGGGCTTTGAGAGTAACATAACTACTATATTCATTTAAATAGAGTGAAGAATAAAGAGTAGTATAGAGCTGAACATCATGTACATATAAATCTGCTGGTATTTTTTGTATATATAACTATATAGTTATTTAGCTATACCTGATTCTGATTAGGGGTAAACATCCAGTTTTAAAGAGTTATTGTTATTATTATACTGGCTAAGGGGTGTCATTATGTATTCTTCAATGCACATTACATCTATGAATATGCAATTGGCAGTGAACGCCTATGGTTTCAATTATCCCGCGGCTAGAGACGAGGACTAAATCAATGAATATACTCTGGATAGTTAACTAGTTAACGTAATTCTTCATTGAGTGAAATTCTCCATTGAGTAAAAGATTAAATTAAATAATTTCAATTTCTTAACTCATCTACTTCAATATGCAATTATACTATCAATTTTAATAAAAAAGTAAAAAACTCTATAGAAATAGAGAGAAAAATTAAACTTGTGATATCTGCTATTAAAAAGCAAGAAATAACCTCAACTGCTAAAGCTACATACTTATTCAATGTTCTCTATACTACTTTATATCATCAACTAAAGGGCTGGTCTGCACATGTGAATTTACATGTAAATTTAACTAAGCTGACTGAGATTGAAGAGAATCTAGTAGTTGAATAGATGCTAGATCTATCTAAATAAGAATTACCTCTCTAATCAGTCTTTGCAGAGAATATAATTAATTATCTTCTTACTCAATAATAATTCAACTCTACCCCCTACTGTGTTAGCAAGAACTGGATTTCAAAACTGATTAAATACTATACAGAGCTTCAATATCACTATATCAAATATTATAACCATGAGTAAGCAAAATATGAGAATAGTAGAATTACTTAGAATTAATTTAAGATTCTAGAAAATACTTTGACAGAGTATAGAATTTGAACTAAAGATATATAGAACTTTAATAAGACTAACTTTGCAATGAAGATGTGTACCATCACTAAGATTATTATTAGTACTAAGTGCTATGACTGAGCAAAGCTGCTGCAGTCTGAGAATCATAAATGAGTCACTTCAATTAAGTCTGTCAATGTATTAGACTACGTCCTACCTTTATATATTATTCTGAAAGCTCAGAATCTTCAGGAAAGCTGATTTGAAAACTTGTTAAATGACTGAAAACTTGATGTTAGTATCAATAAATGAACTATAGATAAAATAGAGATGAAATAACTTACTAAAGTATTTATCTCTACTGTCAATTTATATAGAATTAGCACTTATATCTATTTTATTTTAAATGAGCATGGTAGTTATTTTATTTTAAAATTTAATCAGCTTTATAAAAATAATAAGATTATATCTTTCCGCATGTCAGCACATTCATCTCATCTTCTATAGTCTCTGAATGTTAGTGTTTTTGCTGTTTTAAAATGAGCATATGAGAGCTTGATAAAACAATGCATACAGCTTAAATTCAATACTATTAAGAAGAATGACTTCTTAGATGTCTATTCTGCAGCACATGCAGAGGCCTTTAAGACTTAGAACATTCAAAGTGGCTTCATGGCTACTGAAATATCCTCATTTGAACCTGATCAGATTGTCCAGCAACTAGATATTCAGCTCTGAACTTCTATTTCTCTGAGTAGTCAATTCAGCAACTTAAAGTCATTTTGAATACTTCAAACACCCAGCGACCTGCGGCAATTACATAGGCAAGCAGATAAGATCAAGAATCTTATGAGACAAGGCCTTGAAAATCCCCTCCATGGCTTGATAGAAGGGCTTGATCAAATTATCAAGATTTGTGAATATGAAATGATCAATGCCTTTATTATAAAGAAGTAATATCAGGATATATTCAATATCAATGAGATTGCAAAGCAAAAATAAAAGAGATCTAATCATCATATTCAATCTGAAGGGGGTCTAACTAGGCAAGAAGCTCAGGATCTTGTTATTTCATCTACTGAGTCTGTTGAACAGCCTGTCATTCAATCTTGCAAGTCTCAGCCAGCAGACTCTCATCTGCACTCAGGAGCTCCACAACAGTGCAGCAACTGCAATTTGCCTGGTCATAAGAGAACAAGATGTCCTAATCCTAGTGTCAATTAAATTAAATTAATTAGTTGTTGTTGAGTGTAGATATTTCAGGTTAAATCTAGTTAGTTGGGCTACAGTTATTTAATCTTTCACTCAATGGGGAATTTCACTCGATGGGGAATTACGTTAAGTTAGTTTAAGTTAGTTAACTATCACATGTTTCCTGATTATCTAATCCCTTGTTTGACGTCACCTTGACAACGAAGACTCCGCTTACGATAACTACATAACGGAATACAGCCCGAGAGGTGGGCTTGGTTATGCGATCTGATGGACGGATGTTGCAGCTGGAAATTCTGGCACATAGCAAAAGCAGCCATTCCAAAATCTTGATTGAGAGCGTATGCTGACCGTTGCCAAGTTTTCCTTGACCACCACGCGTGTCCCAATAGTTAACATATTGAAACACACACCTATGACCGCGCGGCACCGACTTTTAATAAAGTACCCCAAAGCGCGTTTACCCAGAACTCTGACTGGATAGTCTCCTGCCTTACCCAGATGATGATAGTCCTCTATTTGACTGAGAAACGCAGTGACTGCAAAGCGTTCAACCGAAACAGGGAGTCAGAGCCACTGGCGGTCGTCTTTGATTGAATCTTGTTACACTGTTCTCGAAGACATTTCTTTCCTGACTAAAAAAGGCAACGCTTCTAAATGATACGTTGGGGAATATTCACGGCCTTGATCGGCTCGTTTGCAGGCGCCCTCGTTGCTCTCCAATTCATATTTTGGTTTGACAAGACCCCAACCGTATCATGGTTCACGCCGAAGACAGGCTCGTATTCCGGTAACTCGAAATGGACGGTTGGGGAGGAGGATACATTCCTGCTGGGTACCGGAAGGGCAGATATTACTGGGTAACTCTTCCGTTTTTACCTATATTTCTTCCTGTATCGAGGATGTTTAGCGGCTTACAATTGTCTTAAAAGGCCCGTTGTGGAAATCAACTTTATGGGTTACGCGGATATGAATCAAGTGGGAACCGGGCTGCGACAGCGTATCTACTCTCGTGCCTTTATCGTGGGAAGCGCCAAAGACCCAGACAACTGTTTCATATACCTCGTGCTCGATAACGCTATGGGCGACACCGCAATCAGAAAAGGTATCTTGGATGGGCTCGCTGAAATGGGCGACGAGTATTCTCGTTATGGGAAGATGAATGTTGCAGTTACTGGGACACATTCACACTCCGGACCCGGGGCATGGATGAACTACCTACTCCCGCAAATCACGAGCTTGGGTTTCGATAAACAGAGTTACCAGGCCATTGTCGATGGCGCCCTGTTATCGATCAGGAGAGCCCATGAAAGTTTGGCTCCTGGCCGCTTAACCTTTGGGTCAACTGTGGTTGAGGAGGGTGCCATTAACCGCAGCCCATCTGCATATTTAGCTAACCCTGAGGAAGAGAGAAATCGTTACAGTTCTGATGTTGACAATACCCTGACTCTGTTAAAGTTTGACAGACTGTCGGATTTGAAAACAGTCGGCATCCTTACCTTTTTCCCGGTCCATGGAACGTCTCTTTTCGGGAACAATACACTCGTTACTGGGGATAACAAAGGTGTTGCTGCCTACCTCTTTGAGAGAAGTGTCCGGGGCGATGATAGTTATGCAGATAACTTTGTGGCTGGATTTTCCCAGTCCACCGTCGGGGATACCACCCCCAACACTCTCGGCGCGTGGTGTGAAGATGGTTCTGATGTTCGATGCACCTTTGTATGTCACTCATTTTTTCTGTCGAGAATTTGAGCGTCAAATTTGTGCTGATTTAAAGTAACAGAACGAAAGTACTTGCGGTGGTAAAAATGGGGCCTGTCATGGCCGTGGCCCTTATTTCCGCGAAACGGATCAAGGCGCTAAAAGCTGCTTTGAAATCGGCCGCCGCCAGTATACGGCTGCCAAAGATCTTGTCGAAAAAATGAGCGCAACATCCACAAAAATCAAGGGGGCCCAAAATGTGGCCGCAATTCACACATTCAATAACTTTTCAAACTTTACATTCACATCCCCACTTGATTCCAGCCGCGTTCTGAAGACTTGCAACGCCTCCCTTGGATTTTCATTCGCTGCAGGCACCACAGATGGCCCCGGAGTGTTCGATTTCACACAGAACGGCACCGATTCATCCACGGAAAACCCTTTCTGGTATATTGCGAGAAGCCTAATTCATGCCCCTTCAGAAGAACAGAAGGAATGTCAGAAACCCAAAGTCATCCTTCTTGACGTTGGTAGTGTGAACGAGCCATACCCCTGGTCCCCAAATATTGTAGACATACAGCTCCTTCGTGTAGGTCAGGTGGTCATAATCGTGTCTTCCGGTGAAGCGAGTACCATGGCCGGCAGACGATGGAAGGAAGCGATTGCCAGATCTGCAACTGACGTTCTCAACATTTCCGACCCAATAGTTGTCTTGGGTGGTCCAGCAAATACCTATGTGCACTATATCACTACAGAAGAAGAGTATGGAGTTCAACGTTACGAAGGAGCATCTACACTCCATGGCCCCCACACCTTAGCTGCTCACATGAACCTGACACTCACCTATTTGCCCTATCTTGGAGATCCCTCCTATACGATGAAATTGCCACCCCTCCCCGCCGGCCCTAGCCCACCCATCAACACAAACACATCGTACTCTTTCATATCTCCAGTCGTCCTCGACACTGCACCTCTTCTAATGTCATTTGGAGATGTTATCTCCTCTCCAGACGAGTCAAAAACATACAAGCCAGGAGAAACTGTCAACACCACGTTCGTCGGCGCGAATCCGCGGAATAACTTAAGACTTGAAGGAACATTTGTCACTGTCGAATTTTTAGAGCAAACCTCGAACACCTGGGAGGTAGTTCGGGACGATTTCGACTGGACGTTAGTTTACCATTGGAAGCGCATCAATTCTGTCCTAGGAATCAGTTATGTTACTGTTGAGTGGCTTATTGATGACGATTTCTATTCCATTGGCGATCCGCGAAGACTGAAAAGTGGGACATATCGCATGCGATACTTCGGTGACTCCAAGAACCTAAATGGAGATATCTCTAAGTTTGAGGGAGTGAGTGGTACTTTTCAGGTAGCTGTGTGAGAGACCTCTGTTGTTGCCTACCACATTTTGAAGACCGTCTGCGCTTCATGGAGAGGGTTGAACCCCCTTCCTCGGGCTTTGCCGTTTGTTCAAACATTTCCCTGCTCCGCCACTAAAGTCAGAATATCAGGCATTGTGAAATGGGTTAAATCCCTTAGGACCTTCACCAATTCATCCCAAAGTTTCCACCGGCGAATAGCCTCTGGTTCCATCATGCATCTATATATATCAACATAGGCACGCTGGTTGCTGGCAGCAGATGATAATCCAGATCATGAGTTAAGTGGATTTTTATGTCCAGGCAACTCATAACAACAAATAACTGGTTATTGTCATCATCAACTTCACATATTTACAAGCAAACATACTTTGTCAACAACTTTCGAAGGAAAATCACAATCAAAGAATTGATGAACAGATGTGAGCTTTATCCTAACATGTTTAAAGTGAGCTCTTGCAAGGCTATTGAGTTTTCTTTTTTCTTTATTCTCAGTTAACAGGGTTAAAGTTACAGAAAGAATAAATCTAGAGTTAGTATAGAATTGTTTTGAAGCAAGCAAATCTGACTTCAGTTGCAATTAATTTCCTCTAAACCCTCTTTTATTATTATCCATATATACCTTTTCCTCTTCTAATCATCTTGTTTCATTAGGTTTATATCTCTATTGTTTGTGCTGTTTCAATATTTTGGTCATACTCTCTCAACGAGGTTACTGTCTACTTGCACTCATTTTACACTCAGAACATGAATTTGCTCTTTGTTCACAATCTGATTAAGGTCAACTCAAATTAATGATCTGTGCATAACCTTCAACACACATATGTTTTCTCCTTTGTCTCGGCATATAATTATAGAGTTGGTGGGAACATTCTAATAAGCTCTCTGCTCTTGTCATCTGTCTCAAATTCTTCAGTAAATATCTCGCAAACTAATTGCTGACAGTATACAGGTTTTAGTGACTGACATAGAATAAGGTTCAATGTTTACTCATTTCTCATATTTCTTCCCCTCTCTCCAAGATGAAGTCTTGAAGAGAGGAAGATTTGTAAAAGTGTATATCCACAAATGTCTATCAGTTCTGTCATAATGGCTGGCTGATAGTGTTTGTTCTTTCTCTTCATCTGCAGCCCAGTCATATAGCCATGGTGCAATTTATTTAGGGATAGACTCTTGTTTCAACAATTCTCATCTCTGAAGTCAATTATTTGTTTCATGATCTCGCCATGGAATATATATCCTCTAAATGGATAGCATGTTCATTGCTCAGTTATTTTCGCATATACCCACGTATCGACTCCAGTACATTTACTATCACTTTCCATTTTCACCTGCTAGCTACAAGTCTCATATAAGTATTACCTTTTGATAACGAGACACATATACCACACTCTTTTCAATATGCGGTTCGGATATTACTTCGTCATCTCTCTGACTTTTGGTCACTTTGTCTCTGCGGGCCCCATCTTACGACGATCAAAGAACTTCGGAATGGAAGGAAGTTCGTCCGAGCCATTTAGACTTGTTGCTTCACTGGATTCTCCTCAGATTATCTCACACAGAATAGATTCACAGAACCAAAGCTGCATGATAATAAATGACGAGAATCACTCAGCTCACCTCCTGCAACTCAGCCCCTTTCAAGACATACGACCCTATCAAGACAGTAACGCGACCATCTCTGCAGACGGAACTATACCCCCTTCCGGACAATATTTTACTCCTTTCAGATAAAGCAAAGCCCTCACCTACCATTACTCTCGCCAATAGATTGACTAAAATCGTCCCAGTCTTCTCTAGAGTGGAGGGTTAAAGCAACCAAAACGGAAGCCAGCGGGGCAAGCAAATCTCACGATGTGAAGAGCGGCGGAACTCATAGTAATCCGTTCCCATCCCCAATAGATTTCTTTCATGGGAAGATTTGTCCACTCTACCGTCGAATGTACTCTCGGTTATGGGTCTATGATGCCTTAGCACAAGCGACAAAACCACAAACTCGGCCAACAGGGAAAACCACTACAACCAAAATCACCTCGACGTTGGTGAAGCCCATGACCATGGCCTCGTCCAAACCCAAAACTACCCCTTCATACTGCACACCGGCCAGAAATGAGGTTCAAGAAAACAAAATCTTCCTCTCAAGCTGTGAAAAGGAATTTCGATAGTGTAAAAAAGGGCAGTCATGAATACCGATGTGATTGCGACTACCTGCAAGCCCTCATATAGTGCCTTATGTGCTATAATTTCAAGCAGAGAGGGCCCAGCATCAGCCGGCCCACACAGGCGTTACCAACGCAAGAAGAGTCGAGAACCGCATCATCAAAAGCACAGAACCCTTCACTATCACCAGGTAAAAGGTGACAGCCGGAACCTTCTCCTCCAGCTGGCACTGCTAGTGGAGAAGGTGGACGTGGCGGCAGTGATAGTGACGCCGGCGGAGTGGATCCTTCACGGTAGGAGTTCGAACAACGACAAACGGCACATGGTTGGCCCATGTCATCACGAAGGCCTTGTATCAACTTCTATGAATAGAGTTCCGTATTGCTTGGACGGGCCTTAGATCGAATTAAGGATGAGAGGCAGGTCCCATGTTGTTGCCTGGTTTTGGCAGTGTATGACAGGTTTGTGCGAGGTATTTATGTTTAAGTCATGGCTTGTTTAGGCCATTAGAATGATTTTCGGACACACGATATCTTTCTGATCTGGGGTATATGAATTAACTTCGATTCAAATAAAATTAAAATGGCGCAAATAAAAACAGTCAAAAAATCCAAAGATTCCGAGAACTGAGTTGTAGATACCCTTCTTCATACCGAAAGATACATAGAAATCGAAAAGGGTGATGCTCATAGTCTATGATACTCTGTATGACGTGATAAGTAGGAAGTAGTCACTATTTATGCATATCCTACATATGCTAGTTTAACTTCAATCAACCCGAAAAGCCAAAGAGAAAAAAGTTCCAAAAATAAAAATTCCGAGCTCGTTATAAAACTACGGAAGATCTCGATATCCGCTAGTGCGGACCGCCTCCGCACGCTCGATAGCCATTCTTCGACGCCGCTCAAGATCGGCAGCCCAGAGGGCTGAGCCTGCGGCTGTGGTGAGGAGTAAAAACATGGATAGCATGGGCACCAGCTGGAGAATTAAAGCAACGGTTCCGAACCTGTGGGTGTATCCCAGTTAAGATTGGAAGCGTGTAGTGCGCTATCTAGTCGGGTCATAGATATGGGGGTAAATTTTGATGCAAGGAAGTGGTCGTAAATAAAGAGAATATATGAGTAAGATATATTCAAGGACAAAACAAGGCAAAAGATCATGGTTATGCGGATGTATATGCGGGCGCACAGGTCAAATGCCATGCAAGCAGTTGTGGAAAGAATAATAAGAAATGAAAGACGAGTCTGGGGAGAGACGGAAGGTTAGATGTGAAGTACTAACCACGTGTATCTCAATCTCCTTTTGACCACAAACTTCTTCCTCTCACTCTTATTAAACCCTCTCAACTCGAAATATCTCCAGTGTTGCAGCGGCCCCGCCCGATAGCCGGTTAGGATTAGAAACATCGGCGTTCCAGCAACGGGGACAAGGTTAAGTGGCAGGAGTACAATGAATTCCACAATCTGCCGTAGGGAAAAAGGTGCATATACTGCACTCATTATCGGTTTACCTAATCTTTGCTTCGGATTGCGCGAGAGAGCAGCATCCCCGTTGCCGTTACCGTCACCATCCCCATCCCCGCCCTGACTATGGTCTACGGAGGGATATACAATTCGTGAGGTAGCGACGAGGTGCTCCTCGCCCTGACTTATAAGAACGGCATCGAAAACATCAACAAGCGTTTCATCCACGAAGAAGGCTTCAAAGAGAATCTGGACAATGACAGCACCCTCTCCTAGCACGAGGAAGAGGCCATTCACCCATGCGCCACTGCCGTGAAAGATGGCGAGAAAGGCTACTTGTGGCAGATAAGCGAGGGTGAAGAGAATGGAATAAATGAATGCAGAAAGAAGAGATATGGACAGGAGTCTCGCGCGAAACAGAGGCCACAGATAAGGGTGGAATATGAAAAATTTTATGCCCTGGTGGCACGTAGCATGTTAATTCGGGGTCTTGGTGAACACAGTATGATGACTCGGGGTTTGAGGGTTGGTTGGTCGGTACTTACTCGTAAGGGATAGAGCCAAGAGGCACGGCTCAGGCTAGAGAACAGAGTCATCCTTATAAACCCGCATATAGGTGGCCCCTTTATGCATCAGTGTAGGTGAGAATTTCCCCATGTTTGATATCGGACTGTCTGGTGTTGACTAAACCTCTCGGTATGAGATCAGGATGACAAGTTGCACAACTATCCTTCAAGTAACAGAGCACCAGAACCGGTTAGGCCGGCCAAGACCCGCCCCCACTTCGCCTACACAAAACAAAATCTCTCTCCCAGCCAGAGCTATTCTATCTCCTTTTCTTTCTCTCACCAACATAAAACTTACATCCCTTCATATTCACTCTGATTTCCTTCCACATGGACTACCAGAGGGGAAAGTGGAGGGGAGAATGATGGAGAACCGCTGGTTACTTACCCCGAATGTTCAACTCTACAACATGGAGCAATTTGGAAATATTAGCAGCGCTACAAACCACATTTTCCCGTTTCTCCTGCTTTTATGGCTGAGAACAGATGCTGTCTGTGCTTTAATTAAAATCCATGATTGTGGGCATCTCGTCTCCGTTCCTCGTATCGGTTCTTATCAGCACCGCTCAGTCAATCCCATCCGGATTCCGACACTCATTGCGCCTATGATAACGAAGGGTTTTTTTACCAATAACCCAGATTTCGTTCTCTGCTAGATACCAATACTCGTCAGGCGCTGGCTGGGATTTCTTGGTAGTGGGATTGATGAGTATAATATGGCGGGATATGCGGTGCAGCAGATTTGGACCGAAGAGCTGAGTTCGAACCTGTTGAAAGGGTTCTGTTGGAAAATATACCTAAGATCAACTTTGGGTTGTCTGCAAACATGCCGGGGCTTGCGGAACGTCTAGTATCACAGATAGGGAATTGTAGGCGTCTATGAGCTTCTTGGAATTTTGGTGAAGATCAACGTGATGTATGTCGTAATCAATTTTGGCCGCTTCAGAGAGCGTCTTTATGTTATCCCAAAGAGAGAGACACGTTTGTTGAATGTTGGCTTAAGCACCCCCTTAATTCGTGTTATATTCATCTAATTTTGGTCTCCAAGTGTAATCGAGTTGATTTCGTTGCCGTAACTGCAATGGACCTGCCCGCGCCCCTGTCAATGTACCCTGCCGGCTTCTGTGTGATGGATTCCGTAAACAGCACGTAGCGTACAGATCAAAACATAGACGGTGGTATATGTCGATGCCATATTTCACCTCATCAGGGTAGAATAAAGGCTTGTGCTATTCGTCAATGATATCAATAGGCGTTATGTTAGAGCGAAGGGGGTGAATGCAGCGTAGATTGGTTTGGCTTAACTAGCTATATATATAAGAATGCGGGGAAGTTCAAAAAAACTGCTTTCATCAATTTCAACTTGACGACGTTAGGGATAAAATACTTTCATGTGAGACTATCAATATATTATTTAACTACGGAATACCAGAGAATCGGCCTTCAACTGCAGATCATATTCAAAGGGTGTCAGTCCCAAATCACTCTCCAACAATGGACGGTAGAACCAGCGTGGAGAATCCGAATTACGAAACTTTTCGAGATTCTGTTTCTCAGACCCTGATTCACAGATCAGCCCAAAACCCTTCAAAGATTCCCCCGCGGCGGCAAAAAAAGACGTCTCCGCTACCGGCAGACTCTGGAAAGCCTTCGTTGCTGGAGCTTGAAGCCAATGATCCGGAAGATCTAGCAGAATTCATTGACGTATGCCTCCATATTACAAAATTTTATTTATACAAGAACAATCTACTGAGAGTCCAATCAGTATATTGCTGGAGAGACCTTCAACTCCTTGCCAGAGGAGGTGCAATCTCTCTCTTATGCCACCATTCAAGGGAATAGTGGCCTTTCGGGAAAATACGCTGAGCCACTACCCCTCCCAGCACTGGACAGCCTAACCGCAGCAGTACCGTTATCAGTCTCTGAATCACTGGCAGTATACGGCCTCATACCAGACGCCTCCGAATTCCCGTCATTCCTGAATCCAATACTCACTGGATATATCGCTGCCGCGGTGGCTGGTCCTCCTAAATGGTCTGCTACGCGGGCCAGCGCCTGTGAAATATGTGACCGAGAATGGGTCCCCTTAACTTATCACCACTTGATACCTCGAGAAGTGCATGACAAGGCGCTCAAAAGAAAGTGGCACGACGAATGGATGTTGAATAGCGTTGCATGGCTATGTAGAGCGTGTCATTCCTTCGTTCATCGCATGGCTTCTAACGAGGAATTGGCGAAGGACTGGTATACGGTAGAGAGGATTTTGCAACGGGAGGATGTGCAGCACTGGGCCCAATGGGTCGCTAGGATCCGATGGAAAGCAAAATGAACGTTGTGGCTTCTTGCATATGGAGTTTGCCCTCGAGCTTCATTTTCCTCTGCCTTTCCTCGACACAAGGTTCAACAACAGTTTCGTACGCTTGCCTCTTAAACATAAAATCGGCTGGGTTTTTCTACTTTTTTGCATTCTCTATACCACCCTTTTTCTCCCCTCTTGGGATATCGCATTTTATTTTGCAGAAACAGTCGAAATTACCAATGACTAGTTTTAAAAGGCGAATTGGTCTCTGCTTATTCATTGAATGGATTACTTTGCGATGTGTTGTTCCCAAAATCGTTGCCACGATTTCTCCCTTGAATTCATTCACAACACACTTTTCGACACCCACCAAGCGCAAGACAATGGCAGTTGAACTTTTGCCAGTGGGCGATTGGGCTGATTGTTTATTTCATAAAGGGCTAAAAATTTGACTATTGCCATTCATCCTGTTTCATATTTTACATACAAGCCATTGTTATCTCAGTGTATCAGTGCCCCCGATCGAATAACACTCCTCAATCATTTTATATTTCACTCCTTCACTGGGAGTTTTTCGAGAAATGCAGCCACTTCTTCTAATCCCATAGGCCACTGCTGAAGGGGCATATATATCTCCCTTTCTTGTGTCCTTTCCTATATATATATTTTCCCTTGTTTCCAATCTTTCATCTCCTTTGTTCCTAGATTTCCAACACTGAATCTACCGTCTCCTTTATTACCCATTTCTTCCTTCTAATCCAAAAATAGTTGCATCTCGAGATTTATCTTCCTGTTGCCGGTTGACAGACTCTTCTTCCCTATATCTACTTGCTCTCCGTGAGTACCTGGTGTACACACAGAGGAAAGTATCTCTTCAACTATACAAACCCCATTTAGATTTTGTGGCTTCGTTGTTGCACATACTTCCATTGCGTGGAATCTCTGAAGATGGCTCAAGAATGCGTAAGATTATACATCTAATCTTCGCCGGTCATCTATTCAAAGATCATTATGTTCAGGAAGCTGACTTGGGGCCTTTCTTTCGTGGAGTTAGAATCTCCTCTTCGTTAAGCTCTACGTTGCACATGCCAATCGAACGATAACTGACCGTATCAGAGACGACAAACTTGATGAGATATCCAGAGCCAAGATTGAAATGGAGGTCCTGGCGGAGGTTGAGAAAGGGAACTTTCCTTTTGAAACTCGAATGGGCTGGATGTGCATGGTATGTTGTCTTGGAATAATAAACTTCATTATATCCTATTAATTTCTGCCAAAATCCTCTTTGTTTGTGCTGATGTCTGGAAGGTCGCTCTAACGAACACGTTCGACGTCTTTTGGCTGGGACAGCAGGACTTGCATCACCTGTCTATAGACGCTATCAAACGTCTCGACGTAATTGTATCTCTTGATGATGATCTTATCTCACCTCCACCACCATCCACTTCCCCTGAACCACTCTCACCATCTTCCTCTTCACCATCTTCTTCTACGACAGCTTCCGGAAGCCGGGAGCCCGGAGCCATGAAAGAAACATCGGACTCAGAGTCGTCTCCAGAAGTTGTAGTTCCATCTATCGAAACTGTAATTCCTGAGGTCCTTCCAAGCCCTCCAAAGCGTCGATTAACTCGTCAAGCCCCTCCAGCAAAAAAGGCTCCCGCAGGTGTTCGCAAGCGTCGTACTCCCGGAAAGGAAAAGGAAAAGGCAGCTTCCTCCACCGAGCCAGAGAGACCGACTGCTGGAGGCAAAACTGTTTCCTTTGCCCCGGATCCCATATCTGATGAAGAGGTGGCATCTTCAGTTAACTCACTGTTTGGGAACGTTGAAACACCTCCTGAAGTTCAAACCCCAAAGAAGCGCAGAACTCCACATGTCCGCGGTAGAGGTGCCAAGAAATCGACCGTGAGTTTTGAACCCTGATTTGAGAGTAACGGTTGTTATCTATCAATAATATTAACTATTGTATAGACAACACGTCAAACTCGAGCTTCTTCCAGAGCATCCGCTAGTGGTAAAGCTCCAGCTGCCCTAGCTCCAGGAGTAGGGAAGGGAAAATGGAAAGGGAAAGGACTCCTAGGCTAGAATTCAAGACAGAACAGCCGAATATATGAAGTTGCCTATGGAAATCAAGTTGCTAAGAATAGACATGTGGATACAATGGCGAATGGAGGCCTCAAGGAATAATTGCTGTTACGATAGCTGGATTGACAGTTGTTATGGAGTTGACTAGATTGTGGGAGACGCTGTTTGTTTCCATCTTATTTATTCCCTTAATCTCCTCTTCATCCCTTCCTGCTTTTCTTTGTATTTTCAAGTGTTGAGAGAATGATTGTTTATGTTTGTGGCAGCAAAGGACTCTTTCAAATATCCTTTTGAGATGCCTATGTGCGAGCAACCTACATTGTTGGTTCTCTGCTTCCATCTTACACAACCCATCTCCGAATAACCCTTCTATTTATCCCTCCCTTAGATTTTTAATTCAAAACTACACGCAAAATTTTTACAATTCTCAAGCTAATAATAGACCCATCATCCCTCTAGTTCGAAAACACCCTTGTATTTACTTGCTTAACCCTCCATTCCTCTGTCTGCTTAACTTGTACTTGTTTTCCAACGGTGGCATCTATGCCAAACTGTTTGGCGAAAATCCAACAACTCGCATAGACATGAAATATGAAACCATTTTCTTTCCCTGTTGCATGTTAAAATGAAATCCCTTAATGTCTATCCAGTAGATCCCATCCTATCTAACATATTTACTAACATATATATCAACCTCGCCACTCAGAAGAAGTAATTTTCCCTTTTTATATCACAAAATCATACATGCAATGCAATGAAAATATAAGTATGTATAACGAATCAGAAAGGTTGGGTACAGTGAAGAAGGTATGAGGAGAGATGGGAGGGCGAAAATTGGGGGTTAGGTAGTTGGACAAAAGTGATGTAGTACTTCAGAGGATTGAGCCGCGCGCGAATAAATATAATGTTACTGACTCCTGAGAAACAAAACGAAAGAAAATTCATTGGGTTCAGGTAAGACGCATTAAAACGGAAGGAGAAATGTGTTTGAATATGAAGAAGTGATGTTAAAAGAAACGAATGGCCGGTTGAGATGGCACGGGGAAGCATGAAGAAAGGGTCATTTTTATTTCATAACGTCCTCTTTTCGGACTTTTCTTCATAGCATTGGACGTGGTCACCGACTCTAATGTCGTTCCAGTCTTCGAAGGCGATGCCGCATTCGGTGCCCTTGTGCATCTCTGTGACGTCTTTCTTGACGTTCTTGAGGGACGAAATGTTACCTAATACGAAGCAACATGGCAATTTAGTTTATGTGCATTGATGGTTACGGGAGAGAGCGTGGTGAAAGATAAAACTAACCATCGTAAATGACTTCCTTGTCACGAAGCACTCTGACTTTATGACGACGGCTAATAAGGCCGTTCCGGACCTTACAGCCAGCAATAGCGATTTTCGAGCGGCCTTTGCCTGTTATTCCAAAGATCTGACCGACCTCTGCCTCTCCAGTGACAAGTTGGGTAATGGCGGGTGGAAGATATTCACTAAGTTCCGACTTGACATCATCGATTAACTCATAGATGATATTATGATTCAAGATCCTGACGCCTTCAGCCTCTGCCATTCGAGCCATTGCTGGTTCCACTGGCAGGTTGAAGGTGATGATGTTACCTTGTGCCACAGCAGCGTGTTGGATGTCAAATTCTCCAATTGGGCCTACACCAGACCGCAGGATCCGCGCGTATACTTCATTGTTGCCAATGGAAGAGACTGAGTTGACCAGCGCTTCCACAGAGCCTGATACATCAGCTTTGATGAGGAAAGGTATGCCTTTCGGACCGGAATTAGCATTAGCAGAGCTGACTCTTTTATCCTTCTCGCTTTGCAACTCCTGTCTCCGTCTTTCAAGGTCTGCCTTTTTAGCTTTGTTGATAGCGCCAATGTCCTCGCTCAGTTTCTTGGTCTCCACCTTGCTCAACCTGTACTCAATAACAGATTTGGCCTGCTGCTCACTTTCCGCCTCGAGAACCTCATTTCCAGCTTGAGGTTGTTCTTTCCAACCATCAACCTCAACCGGAGTACCCGGAAGAGCCTCGTTGATTAAAACGCCGGCTTCATTTTTCAATGTTCTTACTTTGGCCCAGGTAGTACCAGCAACGACGATGTCACCTGGCCTTAGGGTCCCACGTTTCACGAGCACAGTAGCAACCCGGCCGTGCTTTTTGGTTGTTGCTTCGATGACCCATCCTTCAGCTTTGCCATCTACCTCAGCTCTGTGGTCAAGCATTTCCGACAATGTCACCGTAGCCTCCTCAAGATCAAGCATGCCTTCGCCAGTTTTGCCACTGACACAGATGGCTTGAACATCACCACCAATATCTTCAACATGGACGTTATGGCGGGCGAGATCTTGTTTGACTCTTTCCACACTAATGCTTGGCTTGTCAATTTTACTTATGGCGACAATGATGGGAACATTAGCCTCTTTCGCATGCTTGATTGCCTCAATGGTTTGGGGCTTAACACTGTCATCAGCGGCTACGACAAGAATGACAATGTCTGTAACGTTGGCCCCTCGTCGACGCATATCAAGGAAAGCTGCGTGCCCAGGTGTGTCGAGAAATGTGATAACTTTCCCAGACGGCATTGTTACAGAGAAAGCACCAATATGCTGCGTAATCCCTCCATGTTCAGTCGATACAATTGACGACTTGCGGAGCCAGTCCAAAAGGGTAGTCTTCCCATGGTCAACGTGGCCCATAATGGTGACTACAGGGGGTCGCGGTGGTAGATTTGCAGTATCCTGTGGCGGTTGTGCGGCCACCAGATCATTTCCATCGTCCTCGATTATGGGATTGAAATTGAACTCTGACGCAATTAGCCCCGCTGTTTCAGCATCTAGAATATGATTGTATGTTGCTTCTTCAAACCCAAAATCAGCCAGGCGTACCAAGAAATCTGCTGGTCGGATACCCAACGCATCTGCAAGGTTTCCAACTGTAATAAATTCGGGTAAGTATATTGGTGGATTGGCTTCATTTGCCCGTTTTGCTTCCTTTTCCTGTTGTTTTCTCTGTTCCTTGAGTCGACGGCGCTGAAGACGTTCCATCTCGCGATCATAGTCCAGGTCGTTCGAAGCACGTACGGCTTCTCCACCATCGTCACCTTTTTCCTCCCTCCCTTTCCCTTTCTTTTTGGTGTTCTTTTGCTTTGACTCCACGATCAGCTCCGCTGCCGCCTGTGGATCAACTTCCAAAGCAAGCAAGTCATCTACCTCCTCCCCCTTCATTGGATTTTGCTTCTCGAAAGTCGAAGACGGAGTCGGAGCCAATTTAGAAAGCTCAGCCTCAATAAACTCTTCCTTCTGTTGTTGTTCTTCAGACCACCTTCCCTTTCGGAACCCCGAAAACACATCAGATGAACGCTCCGGTCTCGTAGGTGATGTGTCGACGTCCTGAGAAATTGTTGTACTAACTCTGCGTATTATCAAAGGTCCGGATGCTTCACGGCTAACCACGTTTGAGGCATCTGTGGGTGATGTAGTTCTGGGACAATCAGGTTGACTATGTTGAATTGGGAGTCTTGATGGTACACCGCACCGAGTGCAGACCCTACTGGGTGAAGGGTTGAGGTGCTTGCAGTTGAGGCAATTCCAGCTAATTCTCTTATAATCAGACACATCAGTAGAGGGTGTGGGGTTGGTGTAAGCGGTGTCAGTTTGAGCATTCTGAACGAATCTTGTGGGCTGTACTACCATTTTCTGCCTCATCATATCTCGTTGTCTGAGTTCCTCTTCGGTAAGCCCCGCATTTTTAGCAAAAGTAAATGCGGATGAGTCAGTCACAAAATCACCACGACGGATCAATGGGGATTTCTGTTTAGTCCGATCCGGTGCGGGTGGTTTCTGAGCTTCCATTTTCCGTCTCAACACATCCCGCTGTTTGGTTTCTTCAGTAGTAAGAGTGCTTTCTTGAGAAGATATTGGTGCGTTAAACCCTCCGCCAAAACCTCCACCGAATAGACCGATGCCAAACCCTCCTCCAGCAAATCCTCCGCCAACACCTTTACCATTACCGAAAACGGGCTTCGTTGTTGAAACCGGTTGGGTGGGTGGGTCGTCTTCATACTGCTCGACAGCTGCCGCCGCACCAACGGGAGGTTTAGATAAAGGAGAAGTCGAATTGAATTGTCTCCGTGGTTCCCAGTGAACGTTGCTCATGCAGAGACCGGGCATTGGCCGCTGCCAGACGGAACTTATATGGCAGGTGTCCAGACATCGCGAAACCTTTTAAAACACGCACAATAAACAAATTGCACTCGACCAATGCACCAATGAATTAACCATCACCACATACCTTCAAAACAAATCTTCTTCCCATACTGAAACAGCAAGCGCGTGGACAATAATCCTGTTATCCCATCCCATCCTAGTCCTCGCTGCGAGTTTTTTGGGGAACTCGGGGAAATTTTTGAAGGAACTGCTGGATTACGTCAGGATTATCGGACCCAGAGTAAACCCGATGTTGCAGGATAATAGAAAGAGTCGAACGAACAAACTGCTGGAAGGTTTTGGCCCACCTCCACGTGACCTGGCCTCTCCCACGCCAGCCCCCTCTCACAATACATTGTAAATTGTTTATCAATCACTTACCCCTTAACATCAGCAAAACTATTCTCTTCTTCTCAAAAGAAACTCTTTTTTTATCACTTAGTTAAGCTCATTTCTATGTGTTTCTACTTCAAAATGAAATTTCTTAAAAAAATATATAAGTGATATTATATTTAAAAAAACTAGAAAAATTAAAAATTAAAAAATTAAATTTGATAAATTTATAATAATACTAATATCCCCTCTTTTGTTGCACAATTAGCGCGATTTCATTAGTGTATATTATACGTGATATTATTGGCTAAATGGTGTAATATTGCGTACTCTTTGGTATTGGTGTATTATAATAAGCTAAGCCTAATTAGGTTATATAGATTCTTCAGCTCTGCCAACGCCAAGGAATTCCTCCCAGCATCTAGTTTTCAAGCAAAGAGCCACATTCTTACATGCTGAGCATCCAGATCTTGATCTAGGAGCTTGTATACTCTCCTGCTGACCTAGCTTTCGTATATATCGACACCAGACACAAATTGTAGGCTTTGGTAGAGAAATTCGTTGATGAATAAGCTCTGGATTTGATCGCTCATGGGGTAGATCATCATGGATCTTCAAATTGAATTCAAAGAGTTGCTGATAGAGCTTCTCACAGAAGCTTATATGAGTAGGAAGCCTAGAGACTCCCTGCTGCTTCATATATATATACTGAAGCCTCCACGCGTTGACAACAGCAGCATCCAGAATCCAATAGAAAATAGGCAACCAGGTCCGATAGCTCACTCTATGAGAGCTATAGGAAGCTCTATACTGATTTGATAGGTCAACTCCATTCATATTATGATTATAGTCATCAATAATCTTTGGAATCTGAAGGTTCTTCCTAGGTTGATTCTCAAAGACTGGGCGGACTATATGAGCATTGGTAGAGAGTTCTCCAGGCCGTCTTCAAAATCATTCAATGAAGGTGTCCAAAGAATGAATAGTAGTAAGAGCTAATACCATATTATTGTCTTGCCAGGCTAGACAGAGGACCTTATTCACTTCCATAGCATGTAGAGTATTCCATGGAATAGTCTTTGATTTTGAATGCTCTCAGAGCTCTGCTAGAATAGGGGGAACCTGATTAGGGCGGGTAGTCCCACAAGCTCCATAGCCATGTTCTCGAAGTAGGTGGAATAATTGAACAGAGGTAAAGTAGTTGTCTAGGTAAATTGAGTATGGAGTGACTTGTTGATTAGCTGACTCTTCAGCAGAAGGCCTAGTAGGAGCTTCACTAGTAGGGAGGGCTTTGATGATAGAAGCTTCAATGATAGGAGTCTCAGTAGAAGGTCTAGTATTTGATTCCTCAGTAGAGGGTCTAGTATCCAATTCCTCAGTAGGTCTAATAATAGGGATCTTAGGAAGCTGCTGAATCATATTCATGACCATGGATCCAGTTCTGGTAATTCCTGGAAATTGAAACATAGGCATTATGCCCTGCCGGCGGCTAGACCAGGAAAATGTCCAAAGATATCCATGTTCTGCTAGTCCAAAGACCTTGTATCCCTGAGGAATTGGCTTAGCAGGCATCTTATATGTGTGCTGACTTCAACCAAAGCATCTAATCATGATTTCATCAATGGAAATCTCTGAGCCAGGGATGTAATATTTCCGGCAGGCATTATGGAAGTTAGAAGCCAAAGGCTCTATCTTATACCACCAATCTTTATTCTTGGAATCTGGCTGGCGAGCTTCTCGAGGGTTGGATATATGGAAATAGCGCTTGATTTGCTCAAAACATTTCAAGGTCATATAGGATTGAACTGAATGAATAGGACCTTCTCTCAGATTATTCCTCCAATAATGATCAGTCCAGATGGATTTATGAATCCCCATATAGATAAGAGCTCCTAAAAGACCTTTATTTCCTCTGAAGTGGTCTTTTTCCATGGATGTTGCTGAATAGAGGTCTTCAATTCCTTAGATGTTTCCATAAATATAGAGGGTTCTGCAGAAGCTTCCATAGGGATTTCCTCTTCCTTATCCTTCTCCTTATCCTTCTCAAAGCTCTCTGGAGCTTCATTATCAGTATCTCCATCATCTCCCTTCAATTTTGCATAGAGATTGGTTGAATTGACAATATTATGAATGGAATCTTCAGAGAAGAATAAGGTGAATAAGGCATAGGGGCTTTGAACATCAATATCTGGTGGAATATGAAGATTTGACAGCCGTGAACTAGGTTCTAGAGGAAGAAATTTGACTGATTCTAAGGGTGGTATCTCTGCAATGACTTCCTCAATTGCTCATTTTTGCTTTGTAGAGGTTCTACCTGGCTTTTTCATAGATTCTAGAGAATATATTAGTTATTTGATGCATAGATTAAGATCAGGATTCTAGAAAATCACCTGAATTCCCTGTAGGTTCCATATTTGCAGGTGGGTAGGGCTCCATGGTAGGCATGTAGGTAGGTCTGAATTCTCAACGGGTTTGAATTCTCAACGCGCTTTCTGCTTACACGAAAATCGCGAAAGTGTGGATCTGTAGTGACCAATAGCAGCCCATATAAATAGTGCGTGAACCTATTGGTTGAGACATGCTGACAAATGCCTTTATTTTACGCCTAGTGATACCACGCTAATTGTGCAACAAAAGACAGACGAGGGGATAAAGTTTATTCAAGAAAATAATTAAAAAATTCTTATATCTTTTAACTCTCAAACTATAAGTGATTAAAAACTATTTAATTACTACTTAAAAAGTAACTAAAAAGTGTTAAATTAAGAACTATCTTATATCTATAAAAGTAATTAGAAAAAGTTGATAAATAATTGATAAGTAGTTAATAAATAGTTAATAAATATTAAATAAATAGTTGAAATAATTATTTTAAAATAAACAATCTCAAATAGTATATACTATAATATATAGTAAAATGTTAAAAAATTTAAAAAATTTAAAAAATAATTATTAAATAATTATTAAGAAACTAATTATATGATATTTCATCTCTATTAATATTTATAATATTTCACTTCTATTCTTCTGCTCCTCTTTATATTAATATTCACTCTCTATTTGCTTCTCTCTAATTCACTCAGAGATCTCAATCTTTTTTATATTTTCTATTCTATGCAATCATTTCTATCATATAGAGTGATTATAATGTGTATATATAGCAGAACATCTTCTTATCTTATTAGAAGAGAATCAAACATGATTTATCTTACCTATTTAATTACTTATATACATCAAATTGATAGCATGTTCATATCTCTCTAAAAAATTCAAGATTCACTGAATCAATCAAGGTTCAAGATTCACTAAATCAGTCACTTTAAATCATAATCACTAGTCACACTGATTTGTAATTCTAGTTCAATCACTTTAAAAAAAGCATTAGCTATGATATCATCTTCTGAGTCAGATTTTAATCACTTTCAAATAACTGCCTTAACCATCTCATAAAATATCAAAGATAAATGCTTTTATCATTTGAATACTCTCATCATTTCAATAGCTTCTGAATTCTCAACAAGATCAGAAAGCACTAGGTTAGCTAGCATGAAGCAAGACACTGATAAGAACATTCACCACAGCAGTTCTCATCAATGCACATAAGCATTCACAGAAAAGTACACAATAGCAATTGCAGAAGTGTGAAGAAACAAGAACAATCAATATATAGAATTACAATCATTAATTATTTTCTATAATTATCTCAAGATGAAGAGGATGCTATTCACTGTCTCTATAAGATAATACAATGAGATGAGTGCAATAATGCAAAAAATCCTAGTAGCAGAATGAATAATCATCTTCCATCAATGAATTCAAATATTCAGAATGAAAGTCATCAAGCATATTAGAAATCAGAGATCTATCACTTCTGTCTTTGCAGATTTCAGTCACTTAGTTGCAGAAGATGATTACTGTGATGAGAAAGTGATACTAAACATCATAAAAAAGCTCAAAAAGCTTAATATATAATTGAGAGAGCAAGAGAACAGACTAACAGATCTCAACATACAGTTAAAAAAGTGAGAGAACTGAATGATAAATCTGAAATCCTAGCTTTGTATCTATGAATCTCTTTTTAATGAGTGAGAGAAGGAACTAATCACTCATGAGGTTCACTCAAAGTGCATCAGTGCCACTCACTTGTTCATTGCAAGGCTGGGTCTGAGAAGAGTTAATCAAGAAGTGTTAAGAGCAATAAACTATCTGTAAGAGTTGATTTTGTGCATCAGAATTAATCTAAAGCATGATAGAACTATCAGCACAGAGTATCACACATATACAACATGAAAGATAATAGAATAAGATAGAATAATCAACTCACTGCTGAGAAATATAACTGATTCATATTCTTAATAACAAGCATCTGAGACAGAAACACTATCTTTTTATATAGTTGAGAGCAGTCAATAAGGCTCTGAGTAGCAGATCTCATGCTTTACAACTCAGATATGATAGATATGACTACTTTTGCATCAAGATTAAAGTTTATAACAATTTTGAAAAGAGAGACAGTGATTCTCAGAGTAATTTCTCTATGTCTCAAGAAGAAAATTCTAAAGTGACATAATGAGCTATCATTTGAATGTTAAAATAAGATGATAGTGTTGCTTGCAGTAACAATCAATGAGCTATAGAGCAAGTTTCAGCTTTCAGAAGAGAAGATTTGAAACTGAGCTCAGAAATTATAATTTTTATTTAACAAGATAAGTGAGCTACTGCTCACTGTTTATATTATCTGCAAGATCACTTTTCTATAAGTGACAGTAATTTTTGATCAAATCATGATCAAGCATCTGTTGTGAGAAAAATTAAAGAGTGATTTAGCAATAATTATCTTTCTCATATCAACAGAATGTATAAATCATTTTTACAGATGTATATGTGATAATAAGCTGACTGCTAGATGCATCTGAGAAAATTGATGATAGCAACTTCTCAAGTATAAAAGAGTAGAATATCAGACTAAGAATAGATCTTTTATATTCTATCAGTATGATCAGCAGACTGAGCTGATTATTTGATTATGATAGTAGTGTTAATCAGAAGCAGAAGCTGGTAGAATTAATCAGCAAATCAATTGACAAGTTGAGTCAATTGCTCAATCATGAGAGCAGCATCAATTAGAAGCAGAAGCTGACAAAATTAACTGATAAATCAATTAATAAACTGAGTCAATCATTTGACTATGACAGCTATACCAGCTGAAAACAAAAATCAGCAGAACTAATTCAGTGACTCTGTTCAAGTCTGCACTCATCAAGTCTGCATCTGCCTCAGTGACAAAGTGCTTTATCTGCAGAGACCTGTACTATGTTAACAGATGCCTCAAGAAGACTGGCAATTGTGTCATAAATTAAGTGAAATTCAACAATACAGACTTATTATCAGATCTGAAAAATGACTTTTTAAAGTTCAATGATAAGATAAAAAATAAAATAAGAAGATGAGCATCAAGAAGCTCATCTCATCAGCAGAAGCTGCAGCAGCTTTTCTCTCAGAACATCTCATTTTTAATACAGAGACATATATATTAGTCAATAGCATTTCAAAAAATGATCAGAAGATTATTAATAATCTACATTATCTGTCTTATATATTTTTATCTATTCAGATGATTATTCAGCAGAGAGAGTTGTTCATATATATGAACATTGATGCTGAAATCTCTCTTATTGATGTAAAGATAATAAAGTTATTTTTCTTATAGCATCTGTCTATCTCTATGTTAGATAATCACAGTATCAAAATCAGAGATGTTGACACAGAGTCAGACATCTTCAATATATATATTAATTTAGATATTGTTATATGAAATCAAAAAAGTTTTCTCTTTTTCATCAAAAATAAACTTCACTTAGTAAAGCATCTAAATTGTAATATCATATTAGTTAATGATATTCTAGCACCTACTAGTGTGAAAATCATCATATGAGATTGAGTAGTGATATTTTTCAATCTATATCTCATGTGAGTAAGAGTCATCTGAAGGATTGTTTGAGTGAAAGAATAAGAACATTCATCAGAGAGAGTAGAGAAGATCAGTTAGATCAGACAGCAATTCACAATTCATATCACTTAATCAATCATAGTTAATCTAAATGAAGGAATTTTACTTTCTATGTCTTATGTCAGACTGTCTGCAGACATAGTTTGAATAATAGAGCTGAAATTGAAAACTGATAAAAGATTAGTCATATTCACTAAGTTGCTATAAGTCATAATCAATTCAGAAGTAATAATACTTCTATTCATTAATTTAAAAATCACATTCATTATCATGCAATCTCATCAAGTAGTGAGATATGCCTTCTCAATAGAAGAAAAAAACCTCACTTACTGGTCTGAAATCATTTACCTAGCTGCAACAGATAATGAAGATGAAAACTCATTAATAGTCTCTGAGACAGCAGTAGAGAAGTTTTTAGATGCATATATATTTTCTCATTTGAATCTGATGAAACAATCTGCAGTTCAATTGACAATCAATTATCACTACTATCTGTTTCAGTCTGTGTTAAGATGATTCACAAACAGCATGAAGATACTGTTATGCTTCATAAATAAAGTCAATTTTTCAGAACTCAAGCAATATATCTATTTATTATTAAGATAAAATTGAGAGATAATAAATTGAATTCTGAATTCACTTCTGAACAATGATAGAATTAAATGAGTTTCTTTTGAGAATAAGAATTCTATTACATCATCAGCATTTATTATGTGAAACAAAGATAAGTTGAGAATAATTATTAATCTGAAAAAAATCAACATAAGACTGATTTTAAACATGTACTCACTGTCAACTCAGAGAAATATTCTGCAGTTACTGAGTGATTCTACTCTCTTCTTCTCAATAAATATATAGCAAGGCTTTTTCCAGCAGTTAATTGAGAAAAGTGACTGATTTAAGATAATCTTTGTCACTTCTCATCATGAATTAGAGTGATTCACAGTCATTATTATGAAATTGATGATCTCATTCAAATTCTTTCAACAACAGATGAAGGAAATTCTGATATAATATCTCTGATAATTTATGCTTGTGTATGTAAATGATATAATCATATACTCACAAGAGCTGAATGAGCATCTCAAATATCTGAGCAGTGTGTTTACTATATTAAAGAAGTCAGAGATAATGATGTTGCTAAGAAAATACCACTTCATCTATTCATCAGTAGCTCTGCTGAGGCATCATGTCAGACAGCTGAGCATATCCATGCAGAAGAAAAAAAATAGAAATGATTAAGAATCTTATATTCTTCAACTCTCTGAATAAACTAGAGAGTGTTGTTGATCTCTTTAATTACTATCATGATTTTGCTGATTTCTTTACTGATAAGATAGAAGTGTTGAAGATTTTCAAGACTCATCTTCTAAGAAACAGTCCTCATAGTGAAAGTCAAAGAATTTTATATATCACAAAAACAAAGATGATTGAGTTTGAGGATTCAATTGAGTATAAAAAATTGATGATAAACATGCAGCTAGTATTTAAAATAGTCAAATAAACATTAATAAATATCTTAATATAAGTCTATTCTGACTTTAAATGACTCTTCATTCTATATATAGATTTCAGCAAGCAAAAAGACATTGAAGTCACTCTACATCAAATGAATATAAATAATATTGAAAAACTTATTTTATTTCTTTCTCATCAATTAAATATAGTGGAAAAATAATACTTGATGATAGAATTGAAATGTCTTGAGTTTATTTGAGCATTACAGAAGCTGTCTCAATACTTAGATGATGATTTTACTGTGATTACTGATCATGTTACACTGGTATCCACTCTACAGTTGCTGGCAATGAGTCACTAAAGCAACTGACTAGCAAATTGAGCATTGATTCTAAGCTTATACTTGTCACAGATGACAATCTGCTACTGTAAGAACATCTCACATGTCAATATTGATACTCTATCTCAGCTGTGTAACTTGACTGATGATTTAGAGAATATTACTCTAAATAAATAAGAGAAGATCTGCCAGATCATTGTCAATCAGATAGAAAAATATTTAGATATGAAGCTGGCAGATGCATTTCTGATAAATATGTGTATGATATCTACTAGTCAGATAATGCTTGCTGATGAGATTAAGAAGTAATTGTGCAGAGAGCTTTTTCAGAATTCAATATTAAAGAAAATTTTCTGCAAAATAAGTCTGAAGAATTAATATCATGTATTTACAGTTCAAGATGAGCTTTTATATTTTGACAGTGCTCATCTCTGCATTCTTAAATCATTTGCATAGAACATCATTTAAATTTGTCATGACACAGTAGATCACTCAAATCTGCATAAAACAGAGAAGATTATCTGTCAGTTGCTTTTTCTACCACATGTCTGAAGAAGAATTCTAGATCACATATTACAGTGTCTCAACTGTCAAGTAATCAAATCACTAAATCACATTCATTGAGAGAAGATGCATTCAATTCCATCACTTAAAAAATCATTTAAGATGCTTTTTATTGACTTTATCACTAAATTATCTGTCAGTAATAGCTATAACACTATTCTGACTACAATCAATAAGTTCTTTAAGATGATTATTTTGATTGCCAGGAGGAAGAAGTGAGATGCATTTCAATGAGCAGAAAGCTTCTATAGCAAGATGATATATCATTAACAGCTGTTATTGACAATTATATCTGATCAAGATCTGAAGTTCATCTCTCATTTCTGAAAAAGTCTGCTCAGATTGATAAGTATTAAGAGCTGAATGATAATCATCTATAATTCACAGTCAAATAGTCAGAGTGAGTGCAGCAATCTAACTATCAAGATCATGCTGCAAACACTTCTAGTAAATAGATATGCAATGAGTTGAAATACTCTGCTTCTGCAGATAGAATGAATTCTTAACTCAGTTACAGTTTATTCTACCTCAGTCTCATCATTTCAGCTTATGACAAAGATCAAATCACAGTGAATGTCAATTGCTGATAAGAAGAAAGATGATACAGTAACAGAGTTCATAGCAAAGTATGAGACTCTGTGAAAAGAAGTTCTCAAGCAATACACACTTGCTCAGATAAGAATGACAAAAGTTTTTAATCACACTCACCAGCTGTCTAACCTTTATGTAGAGAACTAAGTATTTCTTAACCTTGCTCAGAAAGCTCAGAAAGATTATATCATGAAGAAATCATTAAAATTATCATCTTTATATATAAATTCATTTCATGTTCTTGAGAAAAGTGCTTAATATTGCTCTCTGACTGAAGCTAGTTAGCCTTTTCTGAACAATCTGAAGCAGCATTTTTTCTGTTGCTGATGTTAGCAATAAGACATTCTCCCAGTCAAGCATTTTCTAGGCTTTCTAAGTTTAGTATTCTCTCGGTTTACCATTCCCTTTTGCACAGTAACAGAAGTTGAGCATGCAACTCTACACCACCTACAAGCCATCAGTGGTTTCAGACCAGTGACATTGAGAGAGCCACAATTTTGAATCATAAAACTGTGGCCTGCACCCTGAAATCATGGTCTGGCGTTGCAAGCACCGCAACAAAACAACTGATCACTCAAAATAACCTTTTGACAGATGTGTCATTTTGAAACGCTCCTTTGGCTCAAGGGCTACCTTTTTTCTGGACCCTCACCTGTAGCTATAAAATGAAAATTCTTCTCATAGGAAATACAGTATGTGAGAACAGTCAGGTCTCAGAGCCTTTATTTTCTATTGTGTTCCAGTGACATAAGATGCAGCCATCATCAAGCTTGAAGGGGGTCAAAAAGTCATGGAGTGAGCGCAATAGCCTCATCCAGATGCATTATTGATGGAAAGGGACTTTACAATTAAATTTAGCAAAGATGATGGTTTAAACTGTCATTTTCCACCACCGGATAAAGATATCATGAGTGTCATTTACAGCCACAGAAAGACACCTCACTGACAAAACACAGGAGAAGCTGTACCCTCCGCCGTCTCAAACGACGTGTGAGAGTTACCCCAAACCTTGGAAATCCAAAAGGAAAGGGCAGGGCAAACAGAAAAGAAAACCGGAGGAGAGAAGTGAATAGCCCTTGGTATGTTAACAGCTCTGGGAATTGGCGGCTCGCAGTTCTGTATATTGTGAAGAAACTGCCTCTGGGAAATCTATCCATACTCAATCAATTTGTATAGCTCTTGTAGAGTGCCCACCGATGATTCCGTTTCAGCTGATGTACAAACCTCTCAGTCCAGTCCCTTCCTTTGCAGAATTCGACGCGGGAATTCCAGCAAATGGAAGATCTGCCATGTTCCACAGAACCGATCTGCAACCATGCAGATGCTCCCTTAACGATGTGTCCTTCAACGGGTGATGGGATAGGGATGACATGCACCGCAATGGTTTGGTACCAGTAGTACAACTGGGGGTTCGCGGCTGCAGCATTCGATGTATGTCTTTGGTCACATATTCAAGGCTATCGGACGATGATTGTGGTTCGGGATTTGATTTAATGTTCTCTCTCTGGCGCAGGGCCCACCTAGTTTGATTTCTGTCGTACCATGCGTCTTTTTGTTCCTCTTCAGAAAGTTTAATAAGTTAGTTAGATCAAAAGTAAAACAATCCAACTCAGTACATGAGTATCCAAGGACTACTCAGCCCATGATGACCGTCACTGTCATTTCGATGCAAAATGGGGACAGATTTTCTACTCACCGAGGGGTGGTGTTGACTAATCCATATCAAGGTGCTTATGTGCGCTGGTACAGTTACCCAAAAATTGGTTTGTTGACATAGGTTGGTTTGACCTGTGCCGAATAACCTGTACATATTTTAAACATAGAGTACCGGTTGCAGGTCCTTCAATGATCTATGACTTTTGACTGAAATACCCTGTAGGTACAAACCTTAGCAAGTTCTGTGGCTGGCAAACCAGTACACTTTCCAACCTATGCCGGTTGTTACATATGCTGGTTTATCTCCCTCCAGGTAAACAATTCAATGTCGGGCTATTCGGACGTAAATCCAGTCGCCCGTGGATGGTACCTTTGAAACGAGTGGCTGCCGGCTGCAGTTTATATATTTTCCTTTGCTTCAGGGACCTACACGGCACACAGCCTTCGCTGGAGTTCCTCAAGTTTTTTTGGCTGTGTACTGTACACGCCCTCCTCTCTCTGTGCTCTGTGATCTTGTCTCTACCATCTTGTAGTCTCCCGCTCTTCACATCTACCCCACAAAATCCTTTGTGGACCTTTACCTTTTGTAACTTGGGTGTGTCTGGTCCTTTTTGTCCTGGTTTTCTTGCGAAGGGCCACAGCACGGGTTTTCTGTTGATTGCATCAGGTGAGTCGACAATTTTTCATGGATCAACCAGGCATACATTTAGACGCCTTCGCACGCATTTGAAACAATTGGAGACTTACTGCCGTGTGCGAAAACTATGTGGGTCCGTATCAACCACGCCAGATCGCCAGATCGCCAGATCACCAGATCACCAGATCACCAGATCACCTGATCGCCGGATTGCCAAATTTGTTTGTAGTCAGCCAAATTCCTGAGAAAACACTTACTTGTATGAATAAAATGATTCTCTTAAAGTTGCTGTGTGACTCAGTTAGCGCTGCTTGAGATATTTTTAGACACATGAAGTTACTCAATTTGAGTGAGAGTTCTCAAGCCTCCATGTTTCACAAAGGCATTCTCTTGTATTGCTATCTGAGATATGAAGGCCTTGTCAGATGCTAGAACACATGGATTTTTTAACAGCTTTTAAATATTGTGAAGTTTGGCCATTAAAGAATATTTATTTAGAAAGCCTCTTCTGTGACAAGAATCCTCTCAGGAGAATCCTCTTGTGAGGAAATGGATCATGAAAGCAATTGCCTAGACCGCTTTCCCACACATGCACATCAGGCCAAGCAAACCAACCAAATCACAGCTTGGCACCCTTCTGGTCCGGACCGCGAAAGGCACAGGCTTTTGGTGGGATCGACTTTGCGTGCTCCTAGCAACACAAGAAGAGGGGCAACATATACTGGACCAGTTGGCAACGCCATCATTTTCATACGAACAGGCCATGACATTCTAAAGAAAGGAGAATATTTCCCCTAGGATGGCACCGAGCATGACCAGGCCATGCTGATCTAGAGAATAGGAAATACTTCCCCTAAAAACAGCATCTGGCATGACCAGGCCAAGGTGTTCTAAATAGGGGATATTTTCTCTAAAAACAGCATTTGGCATGACGAGGCCAAGGTGTTCTAAACTATTCTCTAGAATGTCATGATGCTGCTGGCCCCTATTCTCTATATTTCCCCTATTTTCTAGAATATCATGGCCTGACCATGCTGCTGGCCCCTATTCTCTCTATTTCCCCTATTCCATGGCCTGATCATGTATATTTCCCCTATTCTCTAGAATGTCATGACCTTGTCTTAGGGAAAATACACATTGTAAATATCAAATATTTGTGTGATTTCCGTGCAGCTCTCTAGGAGCATGATTATATTTCCTTGATGACATGACATTCTAAAGAATAGGAGAATATTTATCCTAGGAATGGCACCAAGCATGACCAGGCCACGATGTTCTAAAAAATAGGGGATATTTCCCCTAGGATGTCACCGAGCATGACCAGGCCATGCTGATCTAGAGAATAGGAAATACTTCCCCTAAAAACAGCATCTGGTATGACCAGGCCAAGGTGTTCTAAAGTATAGGGTATATTTCCCTGAAAAATTGCCTCAGATTGGGTAGGTCTGTGCTTAACCTCAACACATGTCACTAGGGCAGAGTGTTGACGCTGGAAGGTACTCCACCTATGACGTCATTTATGGCCCACCTTTTGGCAGTTAAAGCTTAATAATGCCCAGTGCTAACTGGCAAGGCTGGGCTTGCATATCTGCACCCATGTGAAAAGGCAATTTTGCATTTTCACCTTTTGGCATTTTGTGTGATTTGGTTAGCATGCATGATTTGACAGTCATCGCGTGTGGTGTTTATAGCTTTCATTGATTGAGGCGGGAAGAGGACAGTGAGAGACATACCACGCCAGGCGGTGATCCCACCAAAAGCTGTGCCCATCGCGGTCCGGTCCAGAAGGACACCAAGCCGTGGTTTGGTTGGTGTGCGTGGTCTGACATGCCCATTTTTATCAGGGGCAGGAGCATGCCAAGCCATTCTCCCACTAAAGCCATGTCTTGGCGTCCTTAAGGACGCCAAGACATGGTGATAAGAGGAGAAGAACTTAGAAAGAAATTCAATTGTTAATCTCTCACTTTTTAGACTTGAGCAATTTAAAGGCAACCAATAATTCAAACATTTATTGGTGATTTATAACAGGTTAAGGAAGGTGGATTTCTTCTGAGAGGTGTGGCAGATGAACTCAAACACTGAAGAAGTCAACTTGTAACAGACTAAGTGATAATAAATACATCTAACAGACAAGTACATTACAGATGAGTATAAATTGCAGTGAAATTAAAAGAAACATAAATTCAAGCAGGAGGGAGCCTATATATATACCTAGAGCATTTGGTCAATTGAAATGATATATGAAGAATATTAGCACTTATTCAGCTAGTATATTCTCACTAAAGCTAAGATCCACTATCTGTCAGATGATAAAGAGTAAATGAGAAGTAGTCTCAGAGCAGAAGTAGTTCTAGAACAGGAGCAGTCTCAGAACAGAAGCAGTTTCAGAACAGAAGTAGTCCCAGGACAGAAGCAGTCTCAGAACAGAAGTAGTCTCAGAGCAGAAGCAGTTTCATAACAGAAGTTACAAAGACTATCTCAACATAATTTCTGTATATCTTTGTTCTAAGAGCATTTCTAAGTTTACAGACTAAGAATAATATCTTTGTATATGATCTTGATACGTACGAGCAATTGAATAGATAGAATAAATCATGTCTGATTCTCTTCTAATAAGATGAGCAGATGATTTGCTATATATACACACTATAATCACTTTATATGATAGGAGTAATTGTATAGAATAGGAAATATAGAAAAGATTAAGACCTTTAAATGAATTAGAGAGGAGAGAAGTGAATAGAGAGTGAATACTAATATAGAAAAAAATAGAAGAATAGAGGTGGAATATCATAATCCTCTTGTTCAAAAGAAAGAGTTCAGACACTTGCATAAAACAATATCAAATAAAGAGATAGATAGAACTGAGGGGTATGATCTACTTTATTCATTTTGACCTGTGTGGTTTTTTGCCATAAAGGCTTTGACAAGTTCAGAGTAATCCTGCAAGAAATCATCCAAGAGTTCTCAGATAGAATTGTTGTATCTCTTTCATTTGACCTGGAGATAGATTTTCTCATTGTTGATTCACTTTCTCATAATCTGTTTAACTTCAAATTATGACTGATCATCAACTATTACTGATTTAGACAGCAGATGATGAGTGTCTGCTTCTATTAAATTTGTCTTTTTCAAATGAATTATGAAGATTACAAAGTGTATCTATCAATTAGATAATAGCTTCAGTTAGAGGACAACATCAGACACTTTCTCAAGAACATGAAACAGATCTATACATAGAGATGATAATTTTAATAATCTCTTCAAGATATAATCTTTCTAAGCTTTCTGAGCAAGGTTAAGAAATGCCCAGTCCTCTATATGAAGGTCAGACAGCTGATGAGCATGGTTGAAGACTTCTATTATTCTTATATAAACAAGTATATATTGCTTAAGAACTTCTTTTTACAGAGTCTTACACTCTGATATGAACTTTGTCACTGTATCATCTTCCTTCTCATCAGCAATTGACATTTACTGTGATTTGATCTATGTCATAAGCTGAAATGATAAGACTAAGATAGAATGAGCTGTAACTAAATTAAAAGTCTGTTCTATCTGTGAAAGCAAAGTATTTCAATCTATCTTATATTTACTCACTAGAAGTGTTCACAGCATGATCTTGACAACTAGATTGCTGTGCTCACTCTGATTATTTGACTGTGAATTATAGACAGTTATCATTTAGCTTTTAATACTCATCAATCTGAGCAGATTTTTTCAGAAGTGGGAGATGAACTTCAGATCTTAATCAGATATAATTATCAGCAATGAATGTTGATGATATATTATCTTGCTGTAGAAGCTTCCCACTTATTGAGACTTATCTCATATCTCTCTTCTGATGATCAAAATAATTGTGTTGAAGAACTTATCAGTTGTAGTCAGAATAGTGTTGCAACTATCACTGACAGATAAGTTAGTAATGAAGTTGATAGAAAGCATCTTAAATGATTTTTTGAGTGATGAGATCAGATGCATCCTCTCTCAATGAATGGGATTCAGCAGTTTAATCACTTGGCAGTTGAGGCATCATGATATATAATCTAGAATTCTTCTTCAGACATACAGTAGAAAGAATGACTGATAGATAATCTTCTTTATTTTATGCAGATCTGAATGATCTGCTGTGTCATAACAAATCTAAATAATGTTCTGTATGAGTGATTTGAGAATGCAGAGGCAGGTAATATTGAAATATAGAAGCTTATCTGGAACTATGAATGCATGATATTGACTCTTCTGACTTGTCTTGTAGAAAATTTTCTTTAATATTGAATTTTGAGAAAGCTTTCTGCATAATTACTTTTTAATCTCATCAGTGAGCATCATCTAACTAGTAGACATTATACACATATCTGCTGGAGATGCATCTATCAGCTTTATATCTAAATGTTTCTCTGTTTGATTGACAATGATCTAGCAGATCTTCTCTTATTTATTTAGAGTAATATTCTCTAAATCATCAGTCAAGTTACACAGCTGAGATAAAGCATCAACATTGATATGTGAGATATTCTTGCAGTAGTAAATTATCATCTATGATAAGTATAAGCTCAGAATCAATACTCAATTTGCTAGTTAGTTGCTTCAGTGACTCATTGTCAGAAACTGTAGAGTGAATACCAGTGCAACATGATCAGTGATCACAGTGAAATCATCATTTAAGTATTGTGACAGCTTCTATAGTGCTCAAATAAACTCAAGACATTTCAATTCTGTCACTTAGTATCATTTTTTCACTGTATTTAATTGATGAGAAAGAAATAGAATGAGTTTTTTAACATCATCTGTGCTCATCTGATATAGAGTAACTTCAATACTTCTTTATTTGCTGAAATCTACATATAGAATGAAGAGTTATTTGAAGTCAAAATAGACTCATATTGAGATATCTATTAGTGTCTGTTTGACTATTTCAAATGCTAGCTGTGCATCTGCCATCAATCTTTTATACTTAATTGAATCTTTAAATCTGATCATCTTTGTTTTTGCAGTATATAAAGCTCTTTTACTTTTACTGCAGAGATTGTTTCTTAGAAGGCAGATTTTAAGAGTCTTCAATACTTCTATCTTATTAGCAAAGATATTGATAAAATTATAATAGTAATTAAAGAGGTTAACAACACCCTCTAGTTTGCTCAGAGAGTCAGAGAATGTGAGATTCTTAATTGTCTCTATTTTTTCCTTCTGTGTGAATATACTTAGCTGTCTGACATAATACCTCAGCAAAGCTACTGATGAATAGATGAAGTGGTATTTTCTTAGTGATATTGTCACTTCTGACTTCTTCAATACAGCAAACACACTGCTCAGATATTTGAGATACTCATCTAGCTCTTACAAGTATATGGTTATGTCATTCACATACATGAGTATGAATTGTCAGAGATATCACACCAGGATTTCTTTCATCTATTGTTAAAAGAACCTGGATGAGATCATCAATTCCATGATGATGACTGTGAATTGCTTCAACTCATGATGAGAAGTGATAAAGATTATCTTAAATCAATCACTCTTCTCAATCAACTGCTGGAAAAAACCTTGTTATATATTTATTGAGAAGAAAAGAGTAGAATCACTCAGTGATTGCAGAATATCTCTCTGAGTTGATAGTGAATATATATTCAGAATCAGTCTTATGTTGATCTTTCTCAGATCAATGATCACTCTTGACTTACTCTTATTCCATATGATAAATGTTGATGATATGATAGAATTCTTGTTCTTAAAAAAAATCTGCTCAATTCTGTCGTCATTCAGAAGTGAATTCAGAATCTGATTCATTGCTTCTTAATCTCATCTTGATAATAGATAGATGTGTTGCTTGAGTTCTGAAAAGTTGACTTCATTCATAAAGTGTAATGACATCTTTGTACTATCTATGAACCACCTCAATGTAGACTGAAACAAATAGTAGTGGCAGTTGATTGTCAATTGAATCACAGATCATTTTATCAGATTTAAATAAAAGAATATATTCATCTCTACAGACTTCTCTGCTGCTATTTCAGAGACTATTAGCAGGTTTTCATCTTCATCATCTGTTGCAACTAGGTGGATAATTTCAGACCAGTGAGTAAGATTTTTTTCCTCTATTAAGAAGATGTATCCCACTACTTGACAGAATCACACAGTGACAGATGTGACTTCTAGATTAGTGAATGAGAGTACTGTCACTTCTGAGTCAATTATGACTTGCAGTAACTCAGTGAACATGGCTGATCTTTTGTCAGTCCTCAATCTTGACTTCATCATTCAAAGTATGTCTGCAGGCAGCCTAGTATAGAACACAGAAAGTGAAATTCCTTCATTCAGATTGACTATGACTGATTGAGTAGTGCAGATTGCAAATTGCTGTCTGACTTGACTAATCTTCTCTACTCTCTCTGGTAGATGTTTCTGTTCTTCCATCTGAAGAACCTCTCAGAAGGCTCTTACTTACACAAAATATCAGTTGAAAAATATCACTACTCAATCTCATAAGATGATTTTTACACTAGCAGATACTAGAATATTATTGACTAATATAATATTACAATTTAGATGCTTTATTAAGTGGAGTTCACTCTTCATAGAAAAGAGAAAACTTTTTTGATTCTATATAATGATATCTAAATTAATATATATATTAAAGATATCTGACTCTGCATCAATATCTCTGATTCTGATACTATGATTATCTGACATAGAAATAGACAGATGCTGCAGGAAAAATAGCTTTACTATCTTCATATCAATGAGAAAGATTCTAGTATCAGTGTCTATATATATGAATAATTCTTCTCACTAAGTGATCATTTGAATAGACAAAAATATATATGACAAATAATGTAGACTATTAATAATCTTCTGATTATTTT